GCCAGCTCTGGTAGAGTTCAAAAACTTACATCTCACAGGAGGACCCATCAGCAAGGCAAAAGACATGTTTGTATATAAATCAGATAAAAAAAAAAAAAAAAAAATCCCTGTGGTGAAACAAAACAGTGGCAGAAGCATTTCTCTCTTCAAAATGCTTTCTTTCAGGAGGATAGGGACGATGGATTAGAGTTGATTGGGACAGTGCAATGAAAGATGCCAATCATTTAGGTTAGAATATAGTCATGGCAACCAACAATTTAGAATATTGTTGCCATTGATTTTAAATAAAGACTCAAATGTTGAAAATACCTTTTCACTGCATTGTTATGGACATCCAGATGTTCTGATTGAAGCACCCTTCACCCAAAACCACAGTAGAGCCAGAAAACCGAAAAAAAGAGACGGTCTATAAAAAGAGAAGTTGATCAGTTTTTGTTGCTCGTTTGTTTTGTTTTTTTACTTGGAAAATTTTATATTTTTAATCCAGTGAGATTATTATCTTCAGGAAACCCATTCCGTTTATCCTCAAATGCAGTATGCATTGATTTTAGTATTGAATAGTTTCCCCCATAATAGATTATTTGCCCTCTTTCCATGTAAAATGATACTTAATAAGCATGCATTGACTTACATGCTTATTAAAAATACCTCATGTATGGATTGGAAGGCTTCATCACTGATGCAATGTGGGGTCAGCGCGGGTGTTCCAGGTCTGGATGGATGGGTGGGAGGATGGATGGATGGATGTATGGACGGGCCAACCAACTGGTCGGTACAGCAGCAGTTAGAGAGCCATTTGGTCCCATTTCCCAGAAATGTGAAATGGGACTAAATGAAAACAACCCATAATCCCCTATGCAGCATACTGCAAAAATATTTTAGGAATTAGTGAGTGAAAGCTGCCTTTGAAAGAATGTGTAAGCATGAGTTTTTACAAAGACTAGATAATAAAGAGTCCCCCAAAGTATGATGTCTTGGAACGATTTCTGTGGACAAAGGACATCCTTACTAGAGGCATCATACCTGAATCAGTTAGCCAACAAACCAGCAATACAGGGTGGGCTCTTTGAAAAGGGAGCCAAGTTATGTGTGAGTTAGACGATTCCACAACCATTCAAATTACAATCATGATGCTTTAAAGCAACAACATAGCCTCTATGATAAAGCTAGAGTACTAATGTAATATAACTGGAAGCAGCTATTGCTGGATCAATGTGGGAGTTCTAAGTCTGCCGAGTCTGGACACATGGTAAAACAATCTTTCAAATGCATTGCATAATAAGGAAGCTGTGCAGAATAAGCCGAGGTAGCTTCAAAAGCCCATGGTACACGTTTTAGCTTTGTGAGCCATCAACACAGCCCTTGGGGACACCATGTAACAACTCTTTTGGAGGAAAGTTTGAAAGGTGCAGCAAAAGGTGATGTCACTTTAAGACTAAGCAGACACAAGAAAGGAATTACAAAACAGATGTGCAAACAAAACAGATGTGCAAAAAGAAATCAGCACGAGAAGGAGCAGTATATGTAGAAGCATTTGGCATTTAGTCTTTCCTGCAGCATTAAAATATGTCATTCATCAGTTACACAACAAATCATTTAATCTTACGAGCAGTTATCCTCTTTTTGAGTTTTGGCTTCTTCTGTTACTTGTATGTGATGTTTTAGATGCTCATTGCCCAGGGAAACATTTTGTCGGGGAGCAGCAAAAAGGCAGGTTTCCTGATGCTTATTTACATATTCAGTGAATGGAGAATGGTGTTAGGTTGTGTTGTATGAAGATTAAGCAATGCAACAAACGACTCCGCAGTGGAGCTGGCTAATCACACTTATTGGTTTTGGTTTTCATTGACTCCACCCAATTGCCAATTATGCCAGTTTAGTAACTGTGTATTAGAAAATTGTTTCTCATTCCTACTATTTGATTATTTGTCTTATTACCTTTTGTGAAAATGCATGTTTTGTTTCCAAATACACTAAATCTCATGGTTGATTAAGAGAAACAACAAAAAACATTGTATAAATCTACAACTACTCAAAAGGGGATTATTTTCCTGCCTAAATGTAAAGAATTTTTAATCATTTCTACATTTTTGCAAATTTTTTTACATACAGCATACTGACTTAAATTTCATAGTGGAAAAAAAATCTGCACTGATTGTAGTCTTGTTTAATCTGATTGAGCAGCCCTGTGACCATCATCTGTTTCAACATATTGTATCATTTATGAATGGAGGCTGAAGTGGATTGAAGAAATCCATGAGAAGCCCCAAGGACCAAATTTTTGGTTTCCTGTGGGAAGAAAATAAAGTGAGTCAAGTGTATGGTGTGACTGTGGACGTATACGTGTGTGTGTGTGCAGGTGTGTGGAAGGGAATGAAACAGGCAGGTGAACAGAGAGGTGTACTGGGTACCTTTGAGGTCAGGGTCTTTGTGGAGCGTTAGCTGTAATGACACCTGACAGCAACTAGGTGTATTTGGCCTGGCAGTTCTGTACATTGGTGTCACTGCTGATAAAAGTCTGTACCCACTGAGCAGGAGAAACCTCTGTCCCGATGCCATCGGGTCCTCCATGCAGGACAAAGGAGAGGAAGATGGGAACACTTCCTTCCTGCTGTACTTACCTGTCCCTCCGATGCTCACTGAGGAAAGAAGTTGCGACAGTAGTGATTGTCCTTGGTTGGGCGGGGGTGGAGGTGCCACAGGTGGGAGCAAAGCTGCATGACACCCGCCGATTTGAGTATGGGAAATGAAACCTGGATGCTTCTCCTTTGGTTGTGTAACAGCCAAGGGCAAGAAGGAAGTCTGGAAAAATGTCTCCACTCATTTTAACAGCTACATATTATATTGCAGTGGGTGAAGCAAATAATCTGACACCACAAAGACTTTTTAGGTATGAAATGTTTTAGTTGTTAGACTTCACCTATTCTTGCTATTCATATTCCTTTTAATAAAACCTTTCCCAGTCAAGATAATGTAACAAACATTTTCAGCTTTTTGTTTGTGGCCTTAAAATGAATTACATAAATACCCTAAACCTGTGAGACTTAAAGCCTGCACTGCCACCTAATGTTCACAAGCAGCTTCAGAGGGAACCCCCTACAAAGCATTTGACTATTGCTTCAGTTTACTTAATATAGATCCAGAAAGCTGTCAAATTTCCTCTCAAAATGCTGTATTAGTCAAAGTTAGACACTTTTCGGAGATTTTTACAAGTGCAGAGTAGGAGTTTCTGTGAGAAAAACGCAGATACGAAACTTCTCTATAACCATGAACTAAATAGAAGCAATTATCCAATAGGTGGGTTATTTTCCCTCCATTTTTCTTTTCTTAATGACAGAAAATGAGGACTGGCTCCTGAACACTTAAGTAAAAACAAACTTAGCACGTCACATCACTAATAGCTTGAGGAAAAACGTCACCTTCAGCAGTAGGGTGTGGAGGAAAGAGGAGGTGAAAGTGGGTTACGGTGTGTGTGTTTGTGGTTGGGTAAGGGGGCTGGTAGGGCAGTAGACAAAGAGTGGGGGAAGCAAATGTGAACACATGTGCTGCAAATTAGGCTTTAAGCAGGCAGCCCGTTATTTCCTTATGTTTAGAGCAACTAGACAAGATTGCAGGTGTTACTGCATGGCTGCACCTCGGTGTACCTTGGAGACCAAATGACCTGGGTGCGAAGGGAGGGAGCAAGACAGCAGTCTGTGAAGAACACAAACTCGTTTTTTTTGTTCCACTCCCTCCCTTTTCCCCATCCGTAGCCCCCTGAGGAACCCTTGCACGCACTTCTAAGCAGCCTCTGCGTATTCACTCCCTGTGGCCGGCCTTCAGTGGCTAGTTTTTTCAAGTGAAGCCTGTTTTCACTCCACATGTGCCTGAGGCCCTACTACCTCAGAAAACGTTAAAGGTTTCATTTCTATCTGGATGGAAAATTATACTGAAAATAAGCAACTAGCTTAATACTACAGGAATAAAACCTCAAGGTTTCACGTGTTTCTGTCCCTAGTTTTACAGGGCTTTGCAAAGGTGTTTATTTTTTCCTAAACCTAGCAAATTTTGCCACTATATATCCAAAAAATGTATTGTATTTTATCAAGATTTTGTGGTAGCCGTCAGAAGAAAAAAAAAGGACTTGTGAAAAAGATAAAACCAAAACTACTTTACTTTTTTTAAACAAACAAAAAGTAGAACATGGCTTTTTAATTAGCTCTCTTCAGTGTGATACCCCTAAACAAAATAAAGGGTTTTTGAATGTTTTCAGAGGATATAAGGACCATTGTGACAAACATGAATAAAAAAATAAAAAGTCAAAAGAAAGGATTCGAAAAAACCTAGTGGTCTTCACTGTGATGTCAGAGAAGCATTGACAAATGACAGCCATTGGAAATTAATGCATTATTGTTCATGCAAAGAAAATTGTCTTTTGAAGTTGAGAATGTTTTATGCATGCAACCTTTTGTCAAGATTCAAAGAACATGACGCCTACTAATGATATTTGTAGTGTTTCTTACAATTACATGCTTGAAGATAGCCCTCGCATCACAGCAAACATTAAAAAAGTTGCAAATGAGAGCAAACGTTGTCTTTAAGGACAACCCCTAGTTGCAGCAGATATTGTTAACTCATTATTTCCATTATGAAACAAGGTGGCAGCAACATCAGATGCTTTTCTCAAGCGTGATAGAAGTTGGATAGAGTTGAATCTCCTGGAAGAAAACTTATTAGAAGCTAGAAATGACCTAAAACAGGGTTGGATGTTTTGTCTCTCATCTGAAGTACACCTGCATTAAGTGAAATAACTAACACAATCAATGGCTGAGTAAATACTTTTGCGTGAACTTTGTGTCAGACTGAAAATTCCAATAAAACGCACTGGATACTGTTGTTGTTACATGAAAAAAATGTAAAAACGTTTGCCAAGCATGCAGTAAAAATAATGAAGGGCTATAAAGATACAGAACCTGCTCTAATAACAGAGAACAAAAGGACAAACTGATGCAAAACTTTCATACAGGGACTTTTGTCACACAGAATTTTTAAGTTTATTCACACATAACATACTACAGAGGGTAATGTATTCAAGAAACATTGAACAGCGCTGTCATATATGTCACAGGAAAAAAAAAAATTGGAACAAAGCAAAAAAGACTGAACCTTTTCTTTGCCGTTATATAAAAATATTGTTGCTACAAAAGTATAAATTAGGTTTACTAATAAGACAACTCAGATCTGAATCTACACAGAAGTCTGCTGCCAAAGTGCGATAAAAAGACTAGCTGAACATAATCCAACATTTTTTTTTTGCAGTTTAGCAGAGTATAAAAAAGAGGAAATGCCTTTAAAATAGGATGAAAGCAACACCGAGTCTTAACCTGAATTAATAAACTAGTTGAACAGATCTCCATGTTAGCATTCATATACCACAACTTCACAACTGATTTTTTTTATTATATGAATAAGTTAAAATCCTGAAACAAAACAAAACTTACAACTGAATTCAGTTTTTCTAGTATTAGTATCTAAGCTGACTTGTCTATTTTATCAAAACTTTCTGAAATGCTACTGTAGAAAAAAGAGGTATAATGTTATTGGTGCTCCCTACTTTTTCTCTTGAATGAAGGCGCCCCCTTGTGGCATAAAAACAGCAGTTCTCCTGTATGTACAAAGTCCATCTCTGAAAAGGGATGATGTCAACCTCTAAACACCAGCCAGAAAGCAGAACAGCTACTCCCACCCTGACAGGCAGAAGAAAATCAGCGTACCTTAAAGCAACATCATCTTGGAGCCGAAAAGATTCATTTTCATCTGATGAGAAACACCAGTTAACAACATTATATATGATTACTCTTATTAAAAGCATGCATATCTTAGTTATACTATTCATTTGATCAACAAAAAGAACACTATTTCTAGGAAAGTTATTTTTTTTTTTTTGTCAACAATGGCGTTTTGTCCCAGAGCATATCCTATTGGTAAATGAAAAAAAAAAGTGAGAGAAATGCCTTCATCAGTTAAGCCCAGGAATATTGTTGAAACCACCAACCATGTACAGGATTTTGAGCATTTATTCAATGCAACCAACATTTTTATGATGATCTGGTTCCTTGAAATTACTGCTTTCTGAGTTCTGAGGTAAAACATTTGATTGGTGTATTTCATACAGATTTTTTTAGTCATTTTTTTTTCTTTTTTTCCTTCTCTTTTTTACTAAAATATCATAAACAAAATCAAAAATACTCTAAAACCATAAAAGGGGGACAAAGCTTTTAAAAAAGGTGCTGCGGTTTAGAAAACCCAACGGCTACTGCAAATAAAAAAAAAAAAAAACTGTAGCTGACAAAAAGTTTGCAAAGCAAAACCTCTGATCTTTGTCAGGTTTTAGTGTTTTTTGAAATAAATACCAATCATAAAGGGGAAAAAAGAAGTGGTTCTGTTCTGAGATCCTGATGAAAGATTAGTCAATTGTGTGAGGATGTTTTTTTTTTTAATAAAAACTATTAGCACAGATGTTCTTTCATTTTTTTGCACTTACATTCACATTGAACAAAGCAGCCCTGCACTAAGCTGTCCTAAGATCACTGATCTCCATTAGTGTGATGTAGTCTGTGCAAAAGTGAGTGCTAACAGTGTTGTGATGGGGTTTCTGAGTACAGTACATCTGTGTTTCTGCAAGAACGTTAACTGCTGAGAACTGTTATTGTGCTGCGATAGTGAATGGATGTCTAAATGAATTCCCCGTAAAGGCTTCAACTAAAATGAATGGGACACCACCTTAAACCTGCAAAATGTCAAATATATCCCACTGAATAAGGCGGTAAAAGGACTTTGGGATGTGTTGAAATATTAGTGTTAAGATTTACAAAAAGTGAAGGGGTACTTTTTTAGAAAACAATGAAAAAAATAAATAACTGCACTGCAGCATTTAGGATTAATAGGTATAATTCAAGCTGTGTGAAAATACAATCTCAATCACAGTATCAGTTTTAAAAAGTCTTTCGGTGTAAAACAATGAAGAAATGAAAATGTTGAAATTCAGGGCTCACAATGAGTCATTTTAACTTTCTATAGAGGATAGATGTGTTTATGCTTAAATTATTACTGACCTGTTTTATGAGCACTAAAGCTCAGCTGATTCCACCTAATAAAACACATAAATAAAGCACTTCTTAAGTAGCACAGTTGTACAAGTAAAAAAAAAAAAGAGAGATCACAATGTGGACACCAGAGGATGCCATTAATAGCTATAAAGTCCTGGTAAGTCTAGATGATTGGGCGAAAACAGAGGAGCAAAAGCCGAACATAAAGCAATAAAAGGAAGGCAACTATTTTACAAAACAAAGGCAAGATAACTGAAGGGTTACAGGTTGAGTTGTGGAAGAGACTTAAGGCCAAAAAACAGAAAACAAATGAGAACTTGATTAGTTATTACCAAAGGCAACAAACAGCAGTTTCCATCCTTCCAAATCATTTAGGGAGGTATCAGCACAATCCAATGTACACTCACCTAATGAATATGAATATGTTTGTTTTTAGTTTACCGAATAAAATGGTAGATAAAAAAAAAAAAAAAAATAATCAGTGTTTCTTCTTTCCTTTCGTTATGATGGCACCTGCTCTACTGTGGGTGGAATGGTTGCAACAGAAAGCCGTGGTTTGAGATCCACCTCAGCACTGAGGTCACAGTTTGGTTTCTTTTAGGTACAGTGAGGAAAAAAGTGGCGGTGCCTGCTCGGATGTGCTCATTCCTGAGAAAATCCTATTGATTTTACAAACATTAAAACAATTTGATGCAGATTAATGACCACAGGAGCGTCCAGAGAACAGTCAGATAACGGGAACCATGTGCTGTGTTAAAGCTTATTGCTTTAAAAATGGAAATCTATAGCTCAAAATAGGAAGACAATGTTTATATTATAATGATAAAACTGGGAAGCAACAATAAATAAACCAACACCCTTCCAATGGACAGCATTTTTCTTCTAACCAAGCTTAAAAAAAAATAAATACACATACCTGTGAGAAGATGCTATTGTGGATAAAATTTGTGCAAGCTAGCTCTTCAAACGAGAAGCTGTTGAACTGACAGTAACAATGTGTGAATGTAAATAGACTGCATTGACGCTACTTATGGTTGGTTAGGGTGCAGAATGATGTGGCATTCCTGAAGTACCAGCACTGGTCACTGTTATTAAGCTAGTCCAATCAACCTTATAATGTCTTGAAGTAACAAATCAGCCGGAATGTGTAGTTTTAAAAACAATAACATGTTTAAGAGTGTATTATTTTAAAAGGTTACATGATTCTGTTTAGTTTTAATCCAGCTATAATAGGTATGATTAAATAATGTCATTAAAAAATCTAATAAACATTTAAATTGATGTATTTCTCTTTTAATCCTTCAGCTTAAATCTATGAATTTCAGCTTAAGCAAAAAAAAAAAAAAACCAAACAAACAAAACAAAAAAGCTTTCCTAAAACTTTGTATTAAAAAAGGAAGAGGCCTTCCTTCTCTGTTGAGTAAAATGCATGCAGTGCATGCAAATCCTCCACTGCTACATGTTCTGGCCATCAAAGCATCTGCGACGATTAAGCTCTGCTTTCCGCCCATCTTCCAATGTTGACTAAGCTGAGGAACTATTTTTATTTTTTTGTGGGTTGTGCGAGAAACTCCTAAACTTAAACCGGAGGTGCAGTGGCAGTGAAGGCTCACTACGTACGTCTTTTGTTCCACGTCGTGAAGGTACTGCTACAGTAGTTAGCCGTTATCTCCCTCCTGAATTGTTTTGAGAAGTAGGTGTGTGTTTTTGTTTTTCCAGAGGTCGGTGACAGCAGGCCGAAGCAGTGAGAGCTCTAATTACCTGAAAATGTTGTCAACCAGTGAGAGTAACAGCATCATAGCCTTGAAGAGGTTTAATCATTAGGCTTGAGTCATTCAAACCACTGACTGAACGATGAAATCCTTCCAGCTCACAGGTGCGTTCTGAACATTGAGAGATACCATTCCACCCATGCTCTTTGATCTCTGTACTTTACAACAGTCCGGTCCTCACAAAATATGTAAAAAGCCATTTATGCTATAGGAGTTTTTATGTATTATTCTGCCTTGAGGTGTCCTTAGTTTCTTGCACATTGATGTTTGTTTAAACCTATAGTACATAAATATGTTTTAAGTCATTGGTTGGATGATGGTTTGGTTGATCTCTGGGTTGTTTTCTAACCCATATTAGAGCGAAGGAAAATGAGCTTGTTCATCTCCTCAGCAGTGACCTGCTGTCTCCTCTTCATTGCCAGGCTTTGTTCACACACAGACACACACTCACTACGAATGCCCACAGCAGGAACGGCCAGGAGCCACAGGGCCAAGCGAGCGAGCCTGGGGAACTTCTCAATCACTGTTGAGCTCCAGTACTGGAAGAGGTCTGGCGTGCCTTGGACAAGAGGTTCGGCCAAGTACTGAAAAATCTCTTGTCTGACTTGGCCGGGACTTTCATCGTTCCCAGAAACCAGGGAGGTTACTCTTGAGGGTCCGCCGTTGTTTCCTGTGCCATCCATACGGCTTATTTTAGGGGTGGGGGGGCCATCGGCGTCCCGCTCTTCTCCCCCTGAACCACCTCCACCACTCAGACCTCCATCCCTGCTTTCCGTAGCCATTTCACAGGCACGGGAAATGATGTCCTCATGCTGGTAGGCTGGCACTGAACGCAGCTTTAGCTGAGGGTCCAGGACCATGGCTACCTGATGAGCTCTTTCAACCTGGAGACAGAAAAATATCACTGAGGATCAGAATTAATGTCAAACTAAATTATTCATAACATATTAAAAGTTTTTTCTCCTCTCCTTTTCCTATCTTGTCACAGTACAATCTCAAACTTTCATGTGTTTTATCTTATTGGGGTATTTATGTGACACATAAACAGTAATCTGGTGCAAAGAAGAACAAATATCTTGTTCTAATTGTTAATTTGTCTAATTTGTTGAAACTACAATTTTATGTGTATTGTATGTCTCTAACATTTTATTGTGCTGAGATGTAAAAAAATCTCTGATTATTCATCATTGTAAAACAGGATTAGTACAGTAAGATTTGACAGAGAGCTACAATTACGTTTGACCAGAGATGATTATAGTTTTTGTCAAACTATGAACAGAATTTTCTATGGCTTCCTTTCAACCAAAGCTTTCATAGTTCAACCAAAACATTCTCTTATCTATCGATCTCTGCAGCTTCTCCAGACTAACTTTTGGTCTTTGGTTGCCCCTCTGATTAACAGATCGTGATATTTTCCTTCTAAGGGACAATTATGCTCTACTTCAAAAAATAAAAAAATATTTGATGCTGTAACCTGATGAAATATCAAAAAGGTTTAATTGTATAAATACTTAAGTAAGTCCCCCTTACTTATGCAAAATTTTTGCATCACATTTAAATCCATACTTTCTTACATGTAGTTAAGAAAGAATGAGTAAACATTATCAATGCGGTACCTTGAAGTTTTCCTTGAGTGCTTCAAGGAAATAGTGGCAGAGTTTGCTAGCTGTGCCGGTCCCAGCCTCCCCAGCTTTAGAAGTGAAGAACTTCTCCAAGCGCAAGTAGACGGGCAGGACTTGCTGTAAGGTAGGTCGCCTTTGGCTGCTCAGCTCCAGAGCTGCCAGGCGAAGTGGTGCCAGCAGACAGGCCAGAGTGCTTAGCAGATGCTTGTTAAGTCCTTGAAGAAGTGGAGCTGTGGACTTACTGCGGCCATAGGCCTCACAAATGTGTTCAAAGTGTGCATGGACCTGCAGGAGGGCCTCTGCCATGCGATCCCAGCATGGTGGAGTGGGGCATTGTGCAGGGGAGCCTTGTGTACTTTCCTCAGTTGTGCTTGTTGACGTGTTGAAGCAATGTTCCTCACGAAGAGCCAGCGTAGTAGAGGAGGCAATATCTCTGCAGGTTGAAAGGAGCTCAGCTAACTCGTGAAGCCCTCGAGCCTGGAGGCTGCGCTTCCCGAGAACCGCCTGAACAACTGCTCCGAGCGAACACCCTGCACACCGCAAACATATCCTGCCCCGGCCACCGCCCCCCAGAGGTGATCCTGCAAACCCAGCTGCCCACAGTCGAGGCTCGGAGACATAAACGGTTCGGATGTCGGACATGACAAACTCAGACAGAACGTTCTGCACCCAGTGGTGAATCTGCTCAGGCCCCTCCCTCAGCTCAGCTTCCCGTACACCGAGCACATAGCGTTTGAGCCTGGACCCCTCCACCTGGTAGGCTGTGAGAACATAACAGGCATCTGGTCCAGAGGTCTGGGAGTGGCAGGTCACGGCGATGCCCAGTGAAGCATTGGAGCCCAAAGCACATGTGACTTTGACTTTCACTTGGTTGTACATGCGGGGCAGCTGGCGCAGCGCTAAGGAACTCATGTTGCCAAGTGCATCACGGGTGGAATAGGCACCATGACGAGCCCCAGTGTCCACAAGGGTCTGTGCCAGCTTCAGGAAGTCTTTGCTGTTTAGAACATTGAGCATGTTCAAATCAGAGCACATTACCCGTAATAGTCGCTCAGCCACCTGCTGTCTCTCCTTCTCAGGTAGTCCATTATTCTCTGCCATTCAGTCATAAATGAATTAACAGGGAAAAAAGAAAAAAGGAGATAATTAGAAGGAATATTCTTGATTTTTGTTGAGTTTATTCTGTAATTAAATATGCTTGAAAATAAGACTTAAAACTACAGGTGCTGGTCATAAAATTAGAATATCATGAAAAAGTAGATTGATTTCAGTAATTCCATTTAAAAAGTGAAACTTGTATATTATATTCATACATTACATACAAACTCATATATTTCAGATGTTTATTTTGTTTAATTTTGATGATTACAAATGACAACAAATGAAAATCTCAAATTCATCATATCAGAAAATTAGAATATTGTGAAAAGGTTCAAAATTGATGGCCCCTGGTGCCACACTCTAATCAGCTAATTAACTCAAACCACCTGCAAAAGCCTTTAAATGGTCTTTCAGTCTAGTTCTATAGGCTACACAATCATGGGGAAGACTGCTGACTTGACAGTTGTCCAAAAGACGACAATCGACACCTTGCACAAGGAGGGCAAGACACAAAAGGTCATCGCTAAAGAGGCTGGCTGTTCACAGAGCTCAGTGTCCAAGCACATTAATAGAGAGGCGAAGGGAAGGAAAAGATGTGGTCGAAAAAAGTGTACAAGCAAGAGAGATAACCGCACCCTGGAGAGGATTGTGAAACAAAACCCATTCAAAAATGTGGGGGAGATTCACAAAGAGTGGACTGCAGCTGGAGTGAGTGCTTCAAGAACCACCACACACAGACGTATGAAAGACATGGGTTTCTGCTGTCGCATTCCTTGTGTCAAGCCACTCTTGAACCACAGACAGCGTCAGAAGCGTCTTGCCTGGGCTAAAGAGAAACAGGACTGGACTGCTGGTGAGTGGTCCAAAGTCATGTTCTCTGATGAAAGTAAATTTTGCATTTCCTTTGGAAATCAAGGTCCCAGAGTCTGGAGGAAAAGAAGAGAGGCACTTCATCCACGTTGCTTGAAGTCCAGTGTAAAGTTTCCACAGTCAGTGATGGTTTGGGGTGCCATGTCATCTGCTGGTGTTGGTCCATTGTGTTTTCTGAGGTCCAGGGTCAACGCAGCCACATAGCAGGAAGTTTTAGAGCACTTCATGCTTCCTGCAGCTGACCAACTTTTTGGAGATGCAGATTTCATTTTCCAACAGGACTTGGCACCTGCACACAGTGCCAAAGCTACCAGTACCTGGTTGAAGGACCATGGTATCCCTGTTCTTAATTGGCCAGCAAACTCTCCTGACCTTAACCCCATAGAAAATCTATGGGGTATTTTGAAGAAGAAGATGCAATACACCAGACCCAACAATTCAGAAGAGCTAAAAGCCACTATTAGAGCAACCTGGGCTATCATAACACCTGAGCAGTGCCACACACTGATCGACTCCATGCCACGCCGCATTGCTGCAGTAATACAGGCCAAAGGAGGCCCAACTAAATACTGAGTGCTGTACATGCTCATACTTTTCATGTTCATACTTTTCAGTTGGCCAACATTTCTATAAATCCTTTGTTTTTATTGGTCTTCAGTAATATTCTAATTTTCTGATATGATGAATTTGAGATTTTCATTTGTTGTCATTTGTAATCATCAAAATAAACATCTGAAATATATGAGTTTGTATGTAATGTATGAATATAATATACAAGTTTCACTTTTTAAATGGAATTACTGAAATCAATCTACTTTTTCATGATATTCTAATTTTATGACCAGCACCTGTAGATACTAAAAAGTGACAAAATTTGAGCAATTTTTGATTAGACTTTAAACTATAACAACAATAATAATAATAATAATTTATAACAAAAATAAAAATGTAGAGATGTCTCGACCCAGCCACAAATATTGGACTCTATTCCCTTACTAAAAAATTCCAAAATCAGTTAAATGAAGTGTTTTCCAATCAGTTTTAAAAAAAAAACTTTTTTTGTGCATGCAAAACTTTATTTTAGTTTTTTTTTTTTTATTATTAACTAGCCCGGGTAGCTACTGCTACCAATAGCCCTGTATATGTTTCTTTAACATAGAAAGTAGGCCTAGGCCAGTACATGTGTATCAGTGGGTATGGTTAGGCTGTAATTATTTTTTTCTGATAACAAAGAGTTGATTCCTCTCCACTGTCACCATATGCTTGCTCATTATTAAGAATTGCTGCAAAGTCAACTACTTAAGGTAGATTGCAGGACAAAACTGAAATTTATTTAATTACATTTAAATTTAGAATAGAAAAGAAATAGCACAACAAATCCCTTCATTGTCCCACAATGGGGAAATTCTGGTGTTTACAGCAGCAAAAAGATTTTAGAAAAAATGGTCACACAAATGTGGACCTTAGCAAAGTGTATAAGAATAACATAATAGAGAAGAGATCAAATATAAATAAATGAAAAAGTATAATTTTAACTGTTTTAACAATATAAATACTGTGCACCTGGAGAATACTTTTTTTACAGTAATGGATATTCCAAAAATAGCAGCAACATCAGAGATGTGCAAAATGACAGCAGCATGTTATTTAACTGACTAAGGTAACAATGCAAATCTATACATTTTGCTTGTCTTATTCAAATGTGTATTTCTCTATTGGATGAGTTAAGAAACACCAGTTATTTACCATTATAGAGATAAACCTTATTCCCACTTTACAAAGAAATTTCCAGAGGAAAAGAGACTCTTTCAGGTGCTGAAGCTTCAACTCTGTCTTTGTGATGAGACTTGCTAAGTTCTGATGTTGATTCGTGTGGGACAAAGCTGAAACACTAGTCCTAAGCTCCTTGGATTTTAAAACTTAATTAAAAAGGACATCACAAAAAATATGACTTTTATTTAAGTCAAAGATAATTAATTGGAATACTGAATTATGTGATTGGAAACTATAAAGCAAAGATTGTGACGTTAGCCTGGCACTTCATCTTATAGCGGCACATGAAAACATGGTCATCAGGAGTCTGGATGAGTTTGTTGAAGGCCTGTTACAATTTTTTAATTTCCAATACGAAACCGATATGGAAGCTAAGAGAATTGTCTGCAACAAATACTAAACCGGTGCACGAATCATACAAGCCTTTATTACTTATTTTATACTGTAGAATGTTAAAAAAGGCTTGATCAATAATATTATTAAAGTTGGGAACAAAAGTAAACAACAAAAGGGCTGAAAACTGACCCACATAAAATTAACCAATGAGTTGTAGAACCTTTTAAGAGAAACAGAGCGACTGATTCTATTAGCATGTTGGAATTCTCCAACTAATCTCCCGATTTTACATTGGGGCTGCACTTTACATCTGTCCTGCAGAAATTTAATTGGTGCGAAATATCTGCTGTCAAAACAGCCAAAAACAGATAAAGAAGACTGCTTTTAGAATGTGCCATGGTATTGCTTTTAATCAGGATGTCCCTAATGCAAATATATACCAGCATAAGTGTAGATGTCAAAACAAAGATGAAGGATGGAGGATTCATTTATAAATGTTATGTTTCTAATGAAGTTGCCAAACTTACGGTTAAGTGTATGGTTCCTCTGAGAGATACTTTGAGGCTGGATTTGCAGTTTCACTGAGGGATGGGACTGAGCCTGGGACCCTCTCCACAGCTGCTCTTGAGGACCCGATGCTGAAGAGGTTTTGGGCGAGTCCCCTTTGGTGTGGTTCTCATTATCAGCTGATAATAGACAGAGGAAGGAAAAAAATGGCTTTATAAATAATGGAGATCATTGACAGCAGTAGAGAAACTGAAGAAAAACTCGTGTAAAGAAAAAAAAAAGTCATGGATTTATAAAGTAATAATAATAAAAAAACTTTACAATTCTGTGCTTGATCTTCATGAATGATTGATGGGTTAATTATCTTTCCAATCAGCTGTGCAAATGTGCATGTTTTGAATGAGTGATCACAGAGGCAGAGCTAAATGACACTCAGTCTGAATTACTCTTTTTCTAGGAAAATTGGACAAAAAAAAAAAAGGAAGACAGCAGTAAACACACGTGGACAGAATTGTTGATACCCCTTGTTTAATAAAAGAAAAACCCTAAATGGTCACACAAATAACTTACATCTGACAAAAGTAATAATCTAAACAAAATCTATGAAAATTAGCAAATTAAAATCAGACATTTATCAGAAGAATGAATACAAAATTGTGCAACAGACCAAGACAAAATTAGTATTTTGTTGCACAACCTTTTGAGGGGGGTAGAAATTTGATTCCTCTTGCTGTCAATGGGACTTCTGCTCCCTTTAGCAGGTATTTTAGCCCACTCCTTATGAGCATCCAGTTCTCTCGGGTTTGAAGGGTGACTTTTCCACATGGCCTGTCTCCTTCCAAAGATGATCCATAGGATTTATCTCAGTGCTCATAGAAGTCCACTTCAGAATATTCTAATGTTTTCTTCTTAGCCATTATTGGCTTTTTTTAGCTGTGTGTTTTGAGTCATGACCCTGCTTCAAGATTCATGACCAACATCTGAGACCAAGCTTTCTGACACTGGGCAGCTAATTTCTCTCTAGAATCCCGTGCCTGAAGAAGCGAAGCAGCTCCAGAACATATCAGAGCCTCTTCCATGTTTCACCATAGGGACAGTGTTACTTTCTATGCATGTTTTATTTTTCCATCTTTGAACACAGGGGTGATGTGCATTAACAAAAAGTTCAGTTTTTGTCTAATCTGTCCATAGGAAATGTGAATACAGAGTGTATACAAAATAAAATTTGGTTTTGTACAGCTTTCAAAACATTTCCATTTCTTAAAATGCAGGAGTGATCAAATGTAAACATTGTGGGAGAAAAAAAAACTCTCCAAAAACGCATTGATATGGAAGTTCTGAGCATTAATATATTTGGTGCAAATATGCAGAATGTGTTTTGGTGCTATCAGTGTGATTTGGAGTAAGTGACATGATTAAGTTTTTTCAACAGTTCTGCAGTCTGACGGCGGAGGGGAAGAAGCCTATTCAGAATCAGCTGGACCTGCATCAAATGCTGCGAAGCCTCTTCCCAGATGGAAACCGTGTGTGGTACACACCATCTTGGGAAACAGAAAAATGGATACCAGTAGCCCTATGCTAAGCCCACTGATTACTAGATTGTGGACACCTGTGGTGCTAATTAGTGGACACAGCTTAATTTAACATGTTTCTTTGGTCTCATTTTCAATATAGTAATCATTTTTATTCAGGCCTGTTTCTTAAGTTAATTTTTATAAAAACTATTCTGTTGAAACCTGGTTAAAAAGTAATGTCTGACTGATTTGTCCATCTTCATAAATACGAGTTATTTCTTGGAACACTTTGGGTTTTTCTATTACTAGACAAGGGGTTTTGAACAGTTTTGTTAAAACATGTTTATTTATATTTAGATTTAAAATCTGAATCAATTTAAGAATATAAATATGTAATAAAAGCAAGAGCAGATATTGCGCTGAGTTCTTTTGCAACGAAAACCCAACAACTGGTCAAAACACAAATATGAGCTGCATTTTATTGAAAGAGGGTGTATTATAAACTGACTTATCAGATATATAAAATGCAAAAAAATATATTTGTTGTATTCCCATCTGTTATTTAATATTTGAAGTACATGGGTACAAGGTGGTTTGTTCATGGATACAAAGTGGAAACAGAATGGAGAGAAATGACACATGGGTAGAAAAGTTGGATATAAACTGAAAAAACCGACAGTAGCTTCAGATCCAGATCTTCAACAACCCTCATACTAATCTTTCTTAGTACAATCTGCATTAATGTTGAGCACAACAACTCGAAAACCTACAGCTCAATTAAGAAGAGTATGTATAAAAAAATTGGCCAATGAGGCCTTGTGTAGATTATTTGTTTGTTTCTGTGTTAAGCTCAAGGCTTCTGTAGTCGTAAACTCACCAGCGTGCGACTGCATGTGCTCCAGGAGGTTGTTGTAGAACTGGAACTGGATGCCACAGGCACCACAAGTGTAGGGCCCTAAAAAGATCACAACGCCCAGAAGACTGTTGACTCTTTGTCATCAGAAATTTAAAAATACTGTGCATCTGTCAAGCTGGGTATTATTTTCCTGGATTTATCATGGATTGGTGAAGTTCTGTTCTAACATCATGTAGCCTTTTTTTTTATTTTATTTTTTTGGATGTATGCACTTTACTTTGATTCAAAGTATAGTAGCATCTCTTCAATTTGTGAATTGGGGGACTTTATTCCTAATAGTTTACTCTAAGGACAAAACACAGCAACATAAATCAACCTTTAAATCTCAACATAAAATGAAAAAAAAAAAGGAAAAATGCAGTAAATTAAACCTGAGGGAAAAAACAGCAGAATAGTTCAATTTTGAACACTAGAACTTACTTTGTGTTGTAGAGAAGGCAGTGGCCACCAGAGGGCTTGGAGTTCCTGCTGACAAGAGGGCATGGAAAGATTTAAAGGTACAGACACATTGGTGCAGCCCTTTTTGCATTACTCTTTACCTTCCTTTATTAAATCAGTATAACTCTAAATTCTCTGCTTTTTTTTATGTGAGAACAATTTCAAGGGGAATGATCTACAAGCAGGTGTATCAAATAACAGATTGGTATAAATGCTTTCTGGGACCAAAACTAAGTTCCAGTCTAATAAAACATGAAAAGGCCATCTTGAGATCCATCAAGCATTATGAGCATAGCTTTGATATATTGTAGCTACAGCCTGTGTAACCAGCTTTGATCTTAAGACCATAAAACTGCAGTAGCAACAGCCTATAATCATGATATCAAATATAACTTCCAAGTCCACACAATACTAATACTAATACAATACTAAGCTAATAATCTCCATCACTCTCTTTTAGTCTGGTCGCATTGGTTGATTAAATGACAACTTATATTTTATACAGTACATACATAAACAACAGAAAAAAAACGAAACAAAAATAAGAGCTCCTCTCAAAAGACTAGACTATTTCCTTTTTCTTTCTCTCGAAATGAACTTCCTGGAGTTTTTACCTGCAAGTATGTTTACAAGAAATTGAGACGTTATTAAATGACACTCTACATCATAATTAGAAATTGATTTTCAATGAAACCACGGACTATATAAGGCAGTTGTGCAAGCCATGAGTTGCTGGGATGATCTGCAAATCCCTGGAAATTTATTCCCAAAACAATAATTTCCATAATAATTGATGTTATGATTCAAGCTCCAAGGATTATTAATCATGTAGCATTAGGAACTATAAAATTATTTGCATTTAAAAATAGAAGAAATATAATGATTAAAACACCGTCCTCTTAGACAGTTCTTATCAATGGAAGAAAAACAGTGTCATTGGAATCTGCCTTTTTTTTTTTTAAACCGAATTTTAAACACTGAATTTTTTTAACACCGAATTTTAAACACTGAATTTCTTTAGACATTGAATTCCTTACACTCAATTTTTATCTGGTAAAAATTCACCAGAAAAAAATTCAGCTGCAAACGTGTTGACCTTTTGGTGAAATCCAGCCAAAGCAATCTACACTCGATAGAGTCGAGCAGCTTCTAGCCAATGAAATAAGCTCATCTGGTCACGTGACACAACGGCTGGGCTCAGCGCAGTGTTTAAAATTCATTGTTAAAAAAATTCTGTTGTTTAAAATTCGTTGTTAAAAAAATTCAGTGTTTAAAAAAAGGCAGATTCCAATGAGACTTTTTTTCTTCCATACTTATCCAATTTAAAAGGGGTCTAGAAAAACTATCAATCCCTCAGTGGGTTTTTTCTTTGAACTGACTGTCTTTTGTCTTTGTTTTTCACTTTTGCTTTGTGAGTTATGTTTTTGGACATCTCCACTGGAACTCCAGGTGGTTTCTCTTGCAGAGCTTTGCCACCAGTGTTTCATATGACATAAGTACACATTTTGGTTTCAGATCATCTAAAAGTAAGATTTGTAAGATAGCGTCACATCAACACTTAGAATACAGGCATATTTAATCTATTAAATAAGAATCCAAATAAGGGTGTTGTGTCAGATTAATAAGAACCTTTAAAAAGTTATTAGGATACTTTTCTTTAAAACTATACCAGATTCCATCCACTCTATATAAAATTATCTTTCTTTATGTCAAAATAATTGTACCAATTTATTGAATAGCTCCCTAGGAATTTAATTACATATTTCATTACATATTTGCAGAGGTGTCAAGTAACGGACTACAAATAGTTCATTACGGTACGTAAGTACACTTTTTAGGTATCTATACTTTACTCCATTACTCATTTTTATTCCTACTTCTGACTTCTACTCATTCCATTTTCACACAAGTATCTGTACTTTCTATTCCTTACATTTTTTAAACAAACGTTACTCGTTACTCTTGGTTTCGATTTAATGTTTTAAAATATTGATTTCACGTCATGTGCGCCATCAAATGCAGATCATTGGTGCCATCCACGTCTAGTGAAAACTAGTGTAATTGGATAAGTGATATAACGCAAACACTCATATGTTAGCTAAAGGAAATCATCAGAAGCAAGCAAGTGTTCTTCAAACTATAAACTTGAATTGTCTACCCCATGCTACAATGTTGGATTCAGAAAAAGATGTTGAAATATCTGAAAGGTCGTAAACAGGTGGGAGCGTATCGGGAGATGGAGACGGAGACCAACAAGACCTCCCTCATCCTTGGCCCTATCTCAAAGAATTTTCGAAATAGTTGAAAAATTTAGCTTTTAATTCATATAGTGGTATCTGGCTGTTTTTTTTTTAAAGGTTACTTTATACTTTTATACTTTAAGTCGTTTTTGGAGCACATACCTCTAAACTTTTACTTGAGTAAAGAGGTCAAGTTGATACTTCAAATTTTACCAGAGTATTTTTAAACTGCAGTATCTATACTTCTACTTAAGAAACAAATGTGTATACTTTTGATACCACTGCGTATTTGTTATTAGTTCTACATAAATTCTGTCTCTTTATTAATCATAGTTGGATGAACCTCTCAAGGTTTAAGTTACACATGTTTTGGTGAAGTCAGGCCCTTCAGTACAAACTGCTTAATAAGAGCAGGAATCTATAGGGGAGCTAAACATCATTTAAAAAAAAAAAGATCTTAGTGATTTCTATGCTTACATTTTTTTTTCTAATTTCCATTTAGTTTTACTAAAATATGTTTTAAATTAATCTAATCAGTTGTGAAGACATACGAAAATATTTATGCTGTTCCAAACAGCTTCTCAGTTGGCAGTATTTCAGTTTAGCTATCCCAGACCACATATTGGCACTTTGAACAAAAATAACAATTCTAGTCAGAAGTTTAAACAAACCCGTCATCTGCATGAAAGTAATAAAAACTTTAGGCTTTCAGTAATTTATCAGGACTTGCATTATTTTCTCTGGAGTTATGACAAATAAAGACAATAAATCAGGGACTTGTTCATCATTTCTTATGGAGTTTTCTCTAATCCAGACAGGAGCAGTAATACAAGCACAGATTCTAATATACTGATATAATATTTGCTTAATTAAAACAACAACATATTTAGAACTATTAGAACTGTTCAGAAAACCCCACCATGTTTTTTAAAGCAATGACATTCTCCTGATGTCAAATATATTTTAAAAGCATTAACATTTAATTCATCTTTGACAGCTTGTTGAGAGTTTTTCAAAATGACAGGATCCTCAGTATAGCATGCAACTGTATGCCCATCTTAAACAAACCTGATAAAATGCAAAAATTATTTATCTGATAAGCTTTTCTGATTGGATTAGGAAAGGAATTAAATTCTTGGAACATTTATTCGAAGGATACAACTTTATCCCATTTTCACAGTATGGGATTTAAGAAAAACAAATTTTTTAGAACATAAACAGATCAAGTCTATAATAAAAGACAGATTTTAACTAAGCAGGTTTACAAAAGCAACCAAATGTAAAGGATTTTCTAAACCTCTAATCCTCCAAAATTACTGCTCAAAATATATTGAGGAGATTGCCCAAAATAGAATAGTTAATATCTCTTTCCCCTGGAAAATGACAGAATGATTTATAAGCTAGCCTTGATCAAAATTCCTGGTCTAGAAATGTTAAATTAAAACAAATTTAATCACTGTATTAGTTGGGGGAGTGTATGGTCATTCAAGGGTCTGTGTCGGTTGACACTACTCAAAAGCAACAGTAATTTCTTTCTAGTTTTTCCTATAATGTGTTCATAGTGATGATATTTTTGAGCTAACTCAAGGAGTTTCTCTAGATATTTACATGTGCGAATCCTCGCCAGCAGTAGCTGTTGCTCGCTGGCCATGTTTCCACACGGATCCGTCCATGTCGTTACAAATTTTCCCAAGGGCTCCAAAATTCTGTCCACATGGGGGACATGCAGAGAAGTGTGGCGCCCAAAATGGCATAATGTGGCCGTGTGGAACTTGAGGATGCGTCAAGCATACACCAAGCTTTAGGGTGGGAGAGGTGGGGGCACATCTACCCTCCCCCATTTTAAATACATAGTAGTTAAACAGGTAACAAAACTACATCTCAGCAGGAAGGGGGGTAGCATGGGGTCTTTCATATCTCTCTACTCTCTGTTCCACCTGTGGGGCGGAAAAGGGGGCTGCACCCTTGAGGTCAGTGAGAGAGCTGCATGGGGTTTCTTGCTCTACAGCCTTTGGTTCCCATCCTTTGGCTTGAAGGTGTTGTTTGTCTGCCGGGATCGGGATGCTGGTTCCAAGCATTTGGGGGTTTAGGTTGTGGGAGGGTTTGGCAGGTGGGATACGGCATCTGTGCACACATGCCTCTCAGCTTGTGGTGTGGGTCTGCCTGGCTGCCTGCCTTTACGCTGTGTGCGGCCTGTGCCTGGAGTCAGGTGGGGTTACACCGGGGCATGTCTGGCATCTAGGCTTGGGTGGCTGGCATGCAATACTTGGCCTAGGGGGGCTGGCGCCATAATTATGATTGCCTGGTGGTAATGTGTACAAGATGTCCATATGGGTTAAGGGACCTGGACCAGCTGGGAGTGCCTGGGGTCAGGGTGGGCCATTTTGGAGGGTGGCTACCTGCTCTGACATTACTGGGAGAGTGTGCGGCCAATGGTGGTTGGCGTGGAGCGGCTATGGCTGGTACCGTGGGGGAGGTGTCCCTCCTAGCGGTAGTGATTGTGGCTAAACCTGGACTACATTTGGATTATTCTCCCTTGGATGGCATCCGATACTTGACCCTTTTATTTGAGAGCTGAAGTGCCTGCTCCCTTCCCACACTCCAGGATCTATGTTTTTTTTATTTTTTTTATTTTATTTTAACTGTTGTTCTTGTGTGTGTATATTTCCAAAAGATGCAATGAGGAAAAGCTGAGGGATCGCTCTGAGGCGGTAGAGATTTTCTGCCAGTTTATCCTTAGTGCTCTAATAATAATAGTAATCTAATAATCATTAATATATACGGATGTGACATGCTGGTTCTCTGGTCCACATGCTGAGACTGCACTGGATAGCTAAACTGAAAACCATCCATTTACATATTGGTACCACAAGAAATTTTTTTTTTTACTTTTTATAAAATCCCACAATTTGTTTTAAAGGGTTTTTATGCATTCCCTTAAAAAATGTCTATAGCGTAAACACCCTTTCAATATGTGTGCTGTTTAGAATGATTTTTGTTGCATCTAAATGTCCCATTAAATAAATAAAAATCAGATGTTTTTTTCTGTGTGTGTTATTTTGGGGGTAGGGTGTGGGGGGGCTGAATTAATCCACTTTCATTAATATTAATCGCGTGATATTTTTTTCCCTAACTACTTTGTTTCCATGGCTGTTATTGATTTTTCATTTTCTCTAAATTCCCAAAACGTCAATCAAAATGAGACATGTTTTGGAGTTTTTACGTTTTTTTTTTTTTTTTTAGAGAGGGGTGGTTAATCCACATTCATTTATCTATTAATCAAGCAACTATCAAAGATTTTTACAGTACACTACTTCTACAGCTGTTTAGCAGTATATTACTAATGAACAACAATGTTAAAGGAGAAGTTCGATTTTTAACACTTTTAGCCCATTTTCTGTAGTGTCCAGGATGAAATCGAATGATCGACACCAAAATTTTGACAATTGGTCCTGTCTCTGCTTTTTGGCTCATTTAGAATCCACCCCTGGCTGCTTTAGAATGGCTTCCATAGAGCATGTCCGATAATGTCCTTAAAACAACCTTAAACGTTCTTTTTTTTTTAAATATGCTACTCACAGGGTCGTCAGCGCTGTTCAATGACGTTCCAAAAAAAGTTTCGTAAAGAAAAAACGTTCCTGTAGTGTTTTATTTAGCATTTTGTAAATCCCATTGAGTTCTGTTGGAATAGTCAATATTCCCCTGCCACCGGAAACGGAAATGGGGCCTGTTTACACAGTTGTAGTCTTTTCGCTTTACTCTGTGTACTCCGACGTCGAGAATCAAGAATCCACCTTTCGTATTCCATTTTCAGAGTTTTTTAAAGTGTTTAACAGAGACGTTAGCACCTCGAAAGAAAATGTGCAGTCTATACTTCAGTGCTACCAGATAAAGAAATATAAATTAGCTCCACCAATTCCGCCAAAAAAAAAGGAGTCAAAGATTTAGTTATCTGAGCCCAAATGCTGGTTGGTGGCTAGGGATAGCATGTGGTCAGTGAGTGCAGAATAATATTTGACCAAATATTAGAGGAGGTGCAGGTATTTATTTGGTGCCTTTATTTTTTCTCTGTGTGGATAAGAAAAAATTCTAATAGAAATTTAAACGAGCATCATTACCTTGTTTTTTTGCACACTGGAAAAAAAGATGAAATCTATCTTTATATAGTTCAATAAGACCAGAATCCACATGGTATTAATATCAATGATAAATCTATGTTAACTTCTCACTAAAACATTTTCTCTAAACCAGTACAACTCTAGTTCGAACTTTCCCCCACTGAATAGAGGTTTAAGTGGAAAACATGAAAAGAGTTGCAACTATCATTGACATACAATCCCCATATCAAGGAAAAGTATTATATAAACAATAAAACTGAGCAGTTTTCCTAAGCCCAAAGCACTAACCAAGGGTGTTGTTAAAATAGGTAACGATGTAACAGAGTGGTGAAACACACCCTGGTCCAAGTTATTTTTAAACATGTGGTTAGCATCTATTTTAAAAACAGTAAATATTTAAAAATAACATTTCTCAGACTTAAGACTGGATGCTGTCTTTGTACTATTTTAAAATGAATGCACACTTGAAATGTTTTGCACATGCATTGTTCTGTTTTATCATACACTGCTCTCCAGCAGCTTTTTTTTTTAACCACAAGAAGGGTGCACTAATATCTTGTTGAAAATGTGGGACACTGTAAAGTAGCTGTTTATTAAAGAAAGTGTAATTTCAAAATGGTCTCTAGTTTTATGATAAGTGTGGAGAAGAATAATAATATTTTCACCACTCAGAGCTGAGTGTTATATAGTATCAAATGATGCAGGGTAGGTCACTTAAACCTATATACACCGCCTCTATTCCAATTTTCTGTCCAGCAATGAGTAGCAAAACAATACATCCTGAGAGCATGTGAAGCAGACAGCAAGAAATATCTGTTAAGTAGAACATAAAATACCTCTTCCACTTTCATTAGAAATAATACAATTCTACAAACTGTAATAATTGCGTTAAACAACAGACTGAGTGCTTACCACTTGAGTTCTGCGAACTGTTTGTATCAACCAAGCTCGTCTGAATCGCACCCTCTAATTTCCGCCTAAATGGGCTGTCTGTAAGGAAAAAACAAAATAAAAGAAAAAGCAGAAACAATATGTGACTTTCTCAACATAAAAAATAAAAAGGAAAAACTCAAATATACACAACCATTAGGTTGATGCAAAATTAATGGCATGCAGTGTACATTCAATTTTAATCTACGGCATTAAAATCAATCATTCTGACAGCCCTGAATAAGGATTTAAATGGTCATATTACATTTAAATATGGCTTTAATTCTGCCTATTCGTTTCATCTTTTTGACCCACTTCTACAATGCGAGTGTGTGCCGTGCTTTAAATAGGCTGAGTGCTTCTTAGCAGAACGATGGGTTGGGGAGGTGGGGGATGGTGTGGGACGACGGGAAAGGCTAAAAAAAATTGCACCATTTGAGAAATTGTCAGTTTTTGCTAATCGAAAAAAAAAAAAGAGGAGTGCTGATTTTTTTATTCAACTATCTTTTATGCTACAGCCTTTTTATACATTCTGTTTACAAGTATAATGCAATATTAAAATTAAACAAAATACCTTAACTGCCTGTTTATGTATGTCCAGTTATTTAATAAATACATTTTACAAGAGCACAGTGGGCTATTTTATTCAGCTAAGGTTGTTTATAACCCCAGTAAAATATATTACAATTAGGAACATGCCAATAGCAATTGCATCACGTTTCTGCCAGTTTTAAATGGTGCAGGTCAATTCCAATTCCACAAAAAGCTCAGCTAAAAACTCCCTCAGTATCTTCTCATGGCTCATCTATATTCTGTCAGAGGAAAAGCACATTTTAAATAATAAATATATTAAAATCATAACCTATTTTTGTAAGAATAGCCTGACAATTTGTTTTAAAAGCCATCCACTTTATTTATTTTATTAAATCAGAGTTTAACTTAACAGGGAAGACTAGTTCACCCTTTACAATTATGTATATTTACAACTTTCTTTACTGTTCCTGCAAAACTGGGCAGCACAACATGTTGGCATATAAATAACAAAACAAAAAGCAAAATTAAACTTCTCTCTTGTGAATGCTAATAAAACTATATATAAATCACAGCACCACTTTATATTTCAATATGCTTACAATGTAGGTTACTTCTTCCTTTAATACCATTTTAAAAAATATGATGAGAATGAGTGTTTTAATGCTTGTACTTAAAGCAGGATTTACTTTCTGTTTTCATGCATTTCTAAATTCTTGCTTTGTTTTTATTTAATTTCTTCCTCTATATTGATACTTGTTTTGAGTTGGAAGACAAGCACTGATTAGACCTAAATAAATCACACATCACCAATGTAGGGGAGTGGTGGCCTCGTGGTTAGGGTGTAGGGCATGGAATCCTAAAGTTGTGAGTTTGAAACCCACTCCCACAGACTGCCACTCTGGCTCTCTGAGCAAGACCCATAACCACTGATTGCTCCCCCGGGCTCTGCACAGGGACAGCCCACTGCTCCCCAAAGGGGAAGGGTTAAATGCAGAGAGTTCATTTCTCCATTTGAGATCAATAAAGTTAAATTTATTTACGTATTATTTATACTATGAATTATATCGAGAGTGGCCCCATTACATGCTTTTTTATACATCATAAACTGAGAAAAATAATCAAGTGGAAATTTATGTTCCCCAGGTATGAAGGATTCAATGATTTTTATATCGCTTGATGCCACAACTTGACTTATCAAAACTTACATGACAGTTATATTTTTTGAAAGTCAAAATATGCTTTACAAAGATAATAAAGTCATAATGATTTTCTCTGTGTACTGGCATTCCGTTAATATTTCACGTGTGACATTAGATAAACAAACAAAACAAAACTTACTGCTCAAAGCTTTGCTCAGACCTATATTTCACAAAGGAAAAAGATAACGCACAGATTTCAGTCACCGTCCACAAACAGCACAACATGTAAATTCACATGACAATAAACAAAATGTATGGAAAATAAAGCCAGACTTACTTTTTATTTTACTAGCTTGGCTGTGGGTAAATTTACTCATGTCTAGAGTTCCACATTCCTGCGCCCGTGAGGTCTTCAAATCGAATGAGCCTTTAACAAAAGAATCTGAGGGTCATATAAAGTAAAACTTTAGGATATATGATATTACTCCTGTCATAGATTATTTTTTAGCAAAGTCATACCATTGCAATCCAAGAATCAATTACATTCTGGCTCTGACAAGTCCAACTGTAGCATTTAAACTAACTTCACTGGTACTCAGAACTATTTTGGTATAAATTATTTGCAACTGCAAGATAAACAAGTAATCCATCAACTGTATTGCTAACAAGTACAAATAGCCCAAACCATAAGATGTTTAAGTACACTGACTTTTGTTGCAGAGGATCTTAAAAGAGAAGTAGAGGGGGAAACATTTTGAGAATCATTAAATAAACAATGTTTGTTACTTGTACTGTCTATCTATATTAAACATTTTTTATAAAGATTCCTTCACAAATTCAATTTGAGGCCTGAAACTGATTTATATTGAAGGATTATATTCATTTGATAAGTCAAAACCAGTTTTTAATTGTAACTGAGCATGTCAACATTGTCTTTTTGTGTACTTGATCTGTACAACAAAGAAGACAATTTTATTTATTAGAAGATTTTTGGACAGCTACAATTTAAAAGACTCACCCAATGGTGTATGAAGAGCAACGTGTTCCTGGTACGGGTTGAAGTATTTGTATTGCTTTCCACAGAACTCGCAAACATAGCTCCCAGTTTCTGGAGATGCAAATACACACAATTATTTACCATGATGGATTATGAAACAGTTATTTGATTTAGAGGTGGAAAAGAAGAGGCAAAACTAATGATAAATAAGAAGCTTTGTGATATTGTTTGCCTAACTGACTTTTGTGTTTAGCAGTGTTTTACCAACAGTGCTGTAAGCAGCTGTTTTCTTTATGAAGAAATATGTATATCTGAGTGTGCAGGTAACATAAGGCGAACAACTAAGGATCGGTTACCGAAGTAGATAAAAAATCTGACATTATGTTATAAATTAACTGCCTTTCATTCATCATCTGTTTATCCCAACCAGCCAAACCCTCCACTGGAGCGCCTTTGAAAACACATTTAGATCTGTTTATTTCATCTTGAGAGTCCTTCTAATGGTCTAAATTAGGAGGACAACTTATTGTAATTTTGTTTATCTAAGTTCAACTTTATCAATATAAAAGATTATAAACGGCGCAACTGCTAGAGTTCAGATGAGGATGGTACATGGTCATGTTGTGATCTGGCCACTTCTTCACAGGTCATAACAGTGTCTGACATCATACAGGTGCATCTAATTTAATTAACATATCCTCCAGGGCTGAAACAATCAGAATAACTGTGGCTAATTGATTATTGAAATAATAGTCAAATAATTTAGTAATCGATTAATCGTTAACTGGAGTATAGAAACTCTGAAACATGTCTTTAGCTGACAGAGAAACCCCCTTTGAACAGCAATTATACCAAAATTGTAAAAAAAAAAAAATATATATATATATATATGTTCACATTTTGCATTTAAGATTAAAAAACAACAACTGTTTTCTTCTGTCAATATCCTCCATACGGAACTCTTGAAGTGGAAAAGTTCTAGTTTCACCTGGTTTAATTTAATAAAGGTTCTTATAAGAACCTGTTGCAATCGGATTATTAATCAAAAAATAAAAAATAATTGACTGATCAATCAATTCAGAATTCTTTCAAGTTTCTGATTCATGTGTATTGGGCTACTTTCAGATATCTAAAGTAACATTCTTCCTATATAAAATAAACATTCTTCTTTTCTAAAAATTAATTCTGATGAGAATTATTTCTAATTTCAGAACTCCACAACAGAGTTACTGCTAGTCATAATGACAATTTCAGATATCAAAAATGAATATAACATTATGGATATCAGTGCTTCACAAAGGATTTTAGGAGACGGCGGTGGGAGAGTCTCTGACCCTTGGGGGTTTTCATGTGTACACATTTTCAAGCTTAGGTTATCCCACTTAAAGGGGAACGCCGTTTTTTTTTGTTTTGTTTTTTTACATTGGGCCCTTGATTTTACGTTATTACATTATGTTTTACTCACCCATATGAGTTTTGTGTCATTTGGAGCTGTTCTGAATATATTCAGTTAGGTTATATCCAAGTAACGTCTTCCTATAAGCAATGAGTTGAAGGCACAAACTAAACTATTCATAATGTATTCTTATGGTACGCCAGCATTCATAACATGTAGGCGAATTACTGTCCCCAAGACATCCGCAGTTATATTTTTTATATTTATATTTTTTTTAAACCAAGCGGAGTGTGTATGACGTCATCTGCATTGCATTTGACACATCTTAAATATATATTCAGTCAAGCTAATACATGTCAAAATGGCCAATTTAAATTTTTTATGATTTTAAGGTAACTTAAAATGTATTCTTACTAGTACAGTTATATATTTTTACATCCTGAAATGTAATTTTTGCTGGCAAAAATGTAATTTATGATATCTATATGTACAGTTCTGACTAGCAGGAATATAGTTTTGACCGGGAAGAATCTTATTTTAGAGATCTACAAATGGAACAAAAGAGAGGACAGCACTTCTAATGAATGTCAAAACGGCCCTTCCTTTTTACAATCACATTGAAAATGTATTATGATTTCAATAGTTCAAGTATTTAATTAAAAAAGTGAAAGTCACATACAAATGTATTTCACTCAGTGATGTATTACAAGAAATTGCAACTTTTTTGACAATTATGGCACAGAGGTGATGAAAAAACCTACATTACTGAGGTCTATGATTGTTTTCGAAAGTGGTTAGGACTCTTTGCTGTGTTTGGCAGAAAATCAGGAAAAAAATAAATATATATTTTGAAAATCACAACAGCCTAAATTCATACACAATTCAGTCTTACTTGGTCCAATTTTCTGATAGGGCTCAACTGGCTCCTCCTCTTTAAGGCCATCAACAGGTAGTACCACCTGTTCATATGGATCTGAGAGAGACAGGAACATAAGTCATCTTAACAGACACCTTTTTTTTTTTTATCCGATTTATCTTTTAAACTCAATTTTGTAGAACACAATTACTTAGTAACTATTATTTCCTTTTTATAAAATGCTTCCCTGGTGAGTCTCTTGTTTCAGGTTTCAGATTGTTGATGCTATTAATTAAATTACAGAATGCAACAATAATTATACTGTTGTATATACAATACGATATACAATACATTGTCTAATAAGAGACAAATAATAAAGAAGAACTAGAGAGTCACTGAAAAAAGAAAACCAGCCATTTCAAATGTAACATTTAGATCATGCATTTTAAAATCTAACGTTTACATCTTCAGATGTAAGCAGCTTTCTCATTGGTAAGACTGTTGACAGTTGAATAATAACTCTACACAGAAGACTAGCTGTGATTGGTTTAATTGTGTTTTCTGTGTCCTCGAAGACCAGAAGGGTTATGGAAATGTTAAATTAAGTGGGTAAAGCAAAATGAAAATGCAATTTGAAATTGGATTTGAAAATGCAAGTGGAAAAATAAAATGGAATAACCTTTTTAAATGTGTGATTAGGGAAGGTATTCCTAATCAGATTTATTCATATTTGGTTTTTAAATTTCCATTTAGACATAGGATTTGAAAAAACATTTTTAAATTCCAGTGTTCAATAATGAATTAATAAATGCAATTTATTAGTTCAACTTAAAATGTGCAATTAGAAAATGCTTTTAGATTTCAAACTGCATGTTTTAAATTACATTTCAAATGGCTGGTTTTCTTTTTCAGTGGCTACTCCATAAAATACAGAGTTAATTTTTCACTTCCGCAATAAACTTTAAAACAAACATGTGGGGAAAATATTTAATCAGGTTTTTGGCAAAATGCCAAGACAGAGTTTCCAATATCACGAATAAACCACGAGCAGAGAGACACTAGAAACATCCTACTGTTTTTAAGGTCAAAATCATTATTTAAAATACAAAAAAAATGTATATATCTTTTATGTTACCATCCACTGCATGCAAGTCACGATGCTCCTGGAAACAGCTGTAGTATTTATACTTCTTGCCACAGATGTCACAAGAGTAACGGAAGCTACCTGGAAATGAACAAAGATAAACAGTTTTTGTTTTATTCACTTAAAATGAAACGATAAAAGATTTCAGTTGCTCTACTATTTACATTTGAGAGATGAAAAGCAACAAAGAATGTATAATGGGTCAATAATCACCAGCTGACAGCAACGGATATGTTTCCTGCATTTTAAATATAAGAAAACAGGAATGTTAAATAGAGCCTTATGCAATGAAGGTGCAACCCGTCTAAAAAGAACCTGACCACAGGGCGGCATTCAGTAAAGCACTTTTGATCTCTCCTCACAAGTAGTTCACAAATCAGTCTTGGAACCATAAGAAATGATTTATGCTCTGCTTTTAGCCTTCTAGTGGAGAAAAATGCATGTATCACAGAGTGTAAATTAAATAATACAGACAGAGAATGATCAAATGGAACCCATTGAGATGAATCAATAAACATTTCCCACCCCCCAAAAAAAACAAAGTTAAAAGAAAAATCTCCATGACATGCATAAATCGCTTTATATGAAAGTGAGAACCAGACAAATGTAACACATTGTATTTTAGTCCCACAAAATCATCAGATCTCATAGAATTTTAGGTGTCATAAAATCCTGATGAGTTTCTAAAAAAAAAGGTTGAAATAGATGAAAAAGCAAAACTGTATTTGAAGAAACATATATAAGTTAATAAATGGTCTATAAGGTAAAATTAAAACACTGGAATAAGAGAAGTACAAACAGCTGTGATTTGAACTGCCAACCCAAAGCAGGCAGATTCAAATAGAAAAACTCAGAGCAACATTAAGATAAAATCTGTTTAACTACATCTCTTCAACAGGCAGAGGTTTATTCTTCTCTTGATAATTAAATATCAGACTAATGTTTCCCTTGGAAACAGGTCCACCAAGACTTATGTAACTTAACAACTAGGCAACAGACTCAAAATCTATTTCAGTTATTCTTGTACTGTTAAAATCGTCCTGACTAACATATAAAATTTTGTTTGAAATGTATTCACAGATCTTACTCAATTCCACATTTGTTTTTAAAGAGTATAAAAAAAATGCCCTGATAGAGACAGCAGTTTTATATCAAAGAGAAAATTAAGAAATTATGAAAGTATGTCATTAATTTATCTCATTTTAAAATATTTAAGTTAAGGGAATTTGAAAAATTCGAGAGCTTTTTATGGACTGAAAAAAAAGTTTTAGTTTTTTTTTACTTTTTAACCTTCCAGTATCTGATTATGTCCAATAAAAGGAAAATTGATGTTTGGCCGACTGGTTAAGTCAAATATATATAATTAAAAATATACATACCTCAGCAGACAGTAAAAAGAAATCTAATCATAAAAAACACCTTATTATTTATCTTTGAAAAATATATATATAAAAAAGAAAAACAGGTTTTCAAAATTGAGTTTAAGTATTTCATTACCAGAGTGTATATCTGGAGAAAAAGTGACACAAAGGGTGAACAGATTGTTAACATAGTTAAATTAAAATAATTCTTTTCCACACAATAAATTTTGAGCTGCACAAAAACAGCTCAAATTAATGTTAGAGCTCTCAACTAACGCCCCAAGGTTTTAATATCACCCTACCCAATAGCATGAATAAAGCTTGGGCATTTTCCACAAATTTGATGATTTCTCGGCTTTATTCGGCCTAATTAAAGCTCAAATAAGACAGCCCCAGGCACAGGTGCGGACAAATTCATAGTAAATCAATTACAGGGTAAACAGCAAAGATAATTGGTTATGAAAGCATGATCCCTCTGGATGGGGTTCTCCTAGTTATCTCTGTAAAGTAAAAGTAACAACACAATAAACACAGCTTTATAGAAAAATGTAATCTAACTTAACCTAATCTTACATGTAAACCCAAAGGGGTTTATTTAGCATCCTACTTTATTTTGTCATTTTCAAGCATGAAAAAAAATACAGAAATCTCTGTAGTGTTGACAATCAGCAACCCCAGCCACTAATGTACAGACATGATACATTGGCGTCTCCCTTTGTTCTCTACCCACTCACACACACAATCAATACATCATCACCAGAAACGGCAGCTAATTCGATCAAGTGGAGTTTGTAGCTGACAATTTGTTTCGGTCCCTCCGGTAAACAGCAGAATAAACAATGCACGCCACAACTGACAGGAATGCAAATGCCATTGTAAGAACCATTGTGGTATTTTGTAATGCAAATACCACAAACAAACAGTTCAATTTGTAAAAATTTCAGTTCTCTTGCTTGGAAGCCTTTTCCTCCTGAATAATTTATGGTTTTTTTTTTTTTATTCCATTTTGCCAAATCCAAAAATATTATCCTTGCTGAACTGCAGCCTGCTCATACGGCTCTCTCTGAAACACACAACCTAATATAAAATACAGAGAATAAGATAATTTTTCTTGTTTTCAAAAAGCTTTAAGCCTAGGTTATTGTTCAAAATAAAGATTTAATTGATCAAATATGAATAAGATGAAGATAGTTAAGAAAAACAAGTATCAGCAAAGATAAACAGAACATAACACAAGGACTTATTAAATAAATACATTTTCTATTAGTGTTTCATTATTAAAATACAGATTAATTTAAGAGGTCACTGTCCCTGAAATCGGAGTGACATGTTTTATGAATTGGTTGATAGGGCTGGGCAATAAATAAATTAATTTCATTTTTGTTTCTGATTATTATATTCATTTTTGGAAAAATAATGATGTTTTTCACCAACCACTCCTTGGATCATCAGTTCATTGCTTTTATTTTTAGATATGTACTTATAACTGATAAACTGTCTCACTGTGTAACATCACAACCTGTAAAAATTTTGTGTGTTTTATTATCATTGTTTATTCTGAAACCTGGTTATTTTAAAAGCAGGTTTCAAACCTTTTTTTTTTGTGAAGTTTTTTTGCCCTTTAAACTAAAGTCACCTCATAGAGGGCATAACTGAAATCAAAGCTAGTTTTTGAAAGTAATGGATGCCATTTGTTTTTTTTTTTGTTATGAAGCCCAAGAGAGGAAAAACAAATCGATTAATCAGATTTGGTTAGAAGAAAGTCAGAGGTTACATTTTTAAGCCACATGGCCCTGGCCTAGAGGTGAAGGTTAGTGATGTAATCAAATATCTTAAAGATTTAACTGATAACTTGCTGTGGCTAAACAAAAAAAATCTGTTTTTTTTTATTTTTTTGTTTCAGTTTGTAAAAAATAACATTTTTGATATACCAAAAGAAGAAGAAAAAACTTGGTCAATGATAGAGAGCCATTACAGCAGCATCTTGGGTTGAGAAAACTGATTTTGGCTCTTGTATTATTAGGAATTTCCCTTTAAGGTCATCGGTTGGCGGACAGTATAATATTTAATATAAAAAACTGAGCAATATTTCTTTACTGAGCTTCTTTTCGAAAAGTGTATTTACTTTTATAAAAAGAAGAAAAAATACTTTTTGTGTTTACAAATTAACCTGGAATCATCTAAAATGTTATCTTAATGGTACACTCTGTTAGTTTGAGAGTTTTAAATATTCCAGCCTTTTCAATGATAAGAAACTATTTGAACTTTACCTGAAGGACATAAAAATAGTTTAAAAAAGTGTGTATTACATCTTTACTGAACTGGTGATAAAATTTGCAGCTGATGTTGATTTCTATTCATATCTGTTCATTTTATGAAATGATAGTAATTTACAGACATGCTGGAGCAGACAGTTAACAGCTGCAGTCAATGGTTCAAGCTATCATTAGCTTTTAAACTCTATGAAGCATTATGCCAGTCATAATGAAGTTTACAGCTGAGAATGACATGATAATTAACTTCTTAATTTATTTATTTCAATGGGTAATCAGGCTCAACCAACAGTTTGTTTTTGATTACCACTGGCTGAATTGAGTTCAGAAAGAATTGTCTCTGCTTTGTCTACAGTTTTTAAAATACAACTTTTCTGCCATCAGCAGTTTTCAACACTCGGCAAGCTTCTGTGTTTTGATTTTGATTTGAGACGAGGCAAGTTGCATAGATAAACCCTCAGTCTGCTCACAGATTTGGGTTATTCTTTACAAATATCCCTGTAAAGGTAATATAAGGTCTTATTCTTAAGGGTTAAAGTATTAGGAAGCAACACAACCAAAAGTGCTTTACAGCATGCTCTATACTCCTAAGAATTTAATTAAATCTATAGTGGAGGATGTTCTTTTTCTGGGTGGATTATCAAAACAAGTGGTCTTCCTAATTGTGAATCATTCTGATGATATGTTTAATGTAAGCCCATCCTACGTGCTGGTCACCATTTTCACCTAATCCTATGCTGAGAAAATTACCTCCCCTCTCATCCACTGATGAGACAATGGATTGAAATATAAACGAAAAGGCAACTATTAAACATATTCTTTATGATTTCATATTTCTTATGCATGGATGCTCTAAAATTTAGATTTTTGGTGGACAACAAATTCAAATGAATATGATATTAACTTGTATGGAGACACATTTTAGTCGATATGCTACAGTGTCCGATGAATATATTCTCTGCTCAGTGGATTGGCATTTCCCGCTTCTTCTATCAACACCATTCTATATTATTTCTGACAAAACATTAGGAATATGTTTAAAAGTTCCCTTTTTCATACATATTTCAATCTGTTTTCTCATCAATGTGCGAGAGTTTAGGGCAATGCAAGCTCCTTTGACAGGTGAGGTAATTCACGGCAGGCAGGTATTTATCTGTCTCGGTATTTATCTGTCCACCAAAACTCAATTTTAGGGCATTCCTGCATAAGAAATATGAAAATATTAAAGCTGAAGTCTGTAAGTTTTTAAAAATCACTTTTTTGTCATATTGGCTAAAACTGTCCCTATGCCCAGACAGCAGTACATGTGATATGTAACCTGTGAAAAAAAACTGCTTCAATTGGTCCCGCATACTGCCTGTATTTCAATCTGGAAAGAATATTTCGGGACGAGTCAAAACAACCAATCACAGCCAGAGGAGCGTCTGATGGAGTGTCAATCACAGCTCACACACGCTGAATCCCCCCCCCAGGTTGAGCGATGCAACCCAGCAACTTTAAAACAGAGCATGCAAGAGGAGAAATGGGCTTGTGCACGCTCTTGCATGTGTTTAGGAGACGTTACCTCTCGGTAGGGGGTACAGGCTTGTGCATTTTTATTTTTATTTTTTAAGTGGAGAGGGTGGGCGAAAAATGTTCTCCATCCAGTCTCAGTGGCCTAAAAATTATTAGTCACAAATTAAGTGTTGGTATTCAGCTTGTACTCCTCATAAGCTACCAAAATGTTCTGCCTCCATTACACTTTTATCTTTTCTTACACTATAGAAAGTCTACACTGATGTCTTCAGTTTGTCTGCATATTCACCTAGAAAGCACACAGTAGGTAGATGTATAAATAACTCACAAGTACTACTCTGAAGCACAAGTATTTTTAGTCCTAATCAAACTTTGAATGTGACATTAAGGGGCCTGGTAAAAATGGGTCTTATAAACCGGCATTCATCATCTTGAACCTAACTTTTTCTCTTTATTACATATTTACACTGCATAAAGATTCCCACAATCACTTGCATAGATTCCACATAGTTATGGACCCACATCTCTCTATAAGCTTGCATAGTTTCCATTATCTTCCCATTAAGTTCCCATTTACTAAAATATATATATATGTATATATATATATATATATATATATATATATATTTTTTTTTTTTAGTAAACCATCTGCTGTCATGCAATTGCAATTTTTTTATGGATAATTGTCAAAAGTGTACTTACTATTAGGTGTCTGAGGGAGACCATCTCCAACCATGCTCTCTGATTCTATAATGAAGGAAAAAAAAAAGATTTGGATTTGAATAGATTAATGCCAACATGTGCATTAAAAACTCAGCTCTATTCACATCCAATTATTTTGAAGACAAAAAGGCGTATGAACAAAAGTGTGGCACAAATGGCTATTATGTTGTTTCGTGCCTTTTTTGTTCGCACCGACCAAACAGGCAGTATACTGTAATCTGAATGTGCCCTTTCAAATAGCATGTTGGCAATTTGGAATCAGAGGCTTGAAAACAAGAAAAAAAAGACAGAAATTAAGAAAAAAAAGAATATTACTAATATAAACATGCACTACCGCTGTTGCACTGATTTAATGTTCAAATAAATGGTGCTTTAAAATCTACAGCAAATAAAAACTTCTCACAATGTGAAAATATGTAAATCTGTTGATTCCCTCTTTCCGGTTTCTAATACCCCCCCTCTCCCCCAGACAAGACCCCTTGTATTTGTTTCAGCCAGAAAGAAGGATCCACCTGCCAGAACATGTATGTTCTTACTTCTCTGAATAATGCGTTGTTTTCATATAAATAAAGTAAAATGCAATATAAATCTAAGCTTAACCTTGCACAGATACAAAGTTTGACATGTTACCACACTAACCTTCTACAACTCACAACTCACTAAGTATTATTATGTTTCCCTGTGTATAATATTGCAGTGTTTCAGAAAGGTCTACCTCCTACACTGTTCCCGTTGCCACACAAAACCTGTCTTTCACTGAAATCATTATGAAACAAAAGACCACACAACAGAAGGCTGGAAATGCTGAAGAGTTGAAATCCTTTGTCAACCAAGAATGGGGAGATGTTTACAAAACTATCCCAGTTGACTTAAATAGTGCACAAATGTTCATTGTTTTGTCACAGAAAAAAATAGGAGATACAACACAACTGTAAACATACCCATCTCTACTGGATAAGTGTCTCTTCTTGGACAATGTAGCAAACCCAGTTTAATATTAAAATAGGTGGACTTCATCTTGCAAAGCTGGTATTTTAACCGGTCAATAAAAAAAAATCTAGAAACCAGGTAATATTCTTTCTGATTAGTGAAGTCTACACCTTAAAGAATGGGTGTTAGAAAAGCAAAGGGAGGTCCCCACTGATGCTACCTCAGCTTCTTCTCATGCCTTAATTTTATGGAGCATTACTGCCTCTTACAGCTATGGACCACTTGAGCAAAAACTTAAACCGACTGTTATTAAAATAATGCTAGTATGTGGTCCTCTAATATCAAAACACATTTACAGATAAAAGTATGAGGACATGGCATCCAAATAAAGTGGAATACACTAAAAGTAGAATGTGGCAGATATGAAGCATGTAAGTCGGGGGAGACACTTTTTCTTCTGTCCACAAGTATTTATAATCAGTATTTTGTCCACTGTAGCAGCTGAATGTTGTTTCCACATGGATGAAAAAAATTCAATGAAACTGTCAGGCATGGAAAGATATTCCTCAAGAAAAAAATAAAATAAAATAAAATCACAAAATGATTGACCATTCTGTGCAGCCAAGGAAATGATAGAAACAAGTGAGGTAATATTGATGGGCCTGCCACTTGGTGCAGAGTTATCCTTAGACAGCTAGAGGTTATGTGGCTAAGCTAACCTTGGCTGCATAAGGTTTTAGGTCAAAACATCGAAAAGCTTAAAAGACTATGATTGTGTCTCTGCAGGTTCCAAGAAAACAACCAAATAAGAACAGTTGAATTAAAGGGCTTTTCATAAAAGTCATTCTGCTTGTTAGAGTAAGCACATATGATCAGCATCTGCTTAAGATTGTGGTAATTAGAGCTGAAACAATCAAATTAATCAGTTATTGAAAACAATTCTCAACTAATTTAGTACTTGATGAATCATTAACTGCAATATACAGACCCTTACACTACCATTACCTGAAAAAAAACAACAACTGATGGTTATAATTATGACAAAACATTTTGCATTTAAGATAAAAAAAATAATAATCTCAGGATTAAGCTCATGGTTTGAGTAGCACAGTTTTAGCTTAGTCGGACTAAATTCTGTATAAAATCACTATCGCTATCCGATTATTATCAAAGAAAATAAAAAATGATCACAGATTAGTCAACTAGCAAAATAATAGTGAGTTGCAGCCCTAGAGGTAATGTAGCTAGGGCTGAAACAATTAATTGGGTTAATCGATTATTGAAATAATCATCAACTAATTCAGTAATCAATCATTAAATGGAGTGTAGAGACTCTAAAACATGCCTTTAGCTGACAGAGCAACTCATTTAGAGCAGTAATTACATCAAAATTGTAAAGAAAATACATAATCTTGGTTTTAAGATAAAAAAAATAAATAAATAAATAAATAAAAAGTTTTCTTCTGCCAATATGCTCTATCCAGAGCTACTCATTAGGAAAAGTTTTAGGTTTAATTTCGAAAAAAAAAAAATCTATAAAAGGTACCTTTCGTTATTTCATGATTAATTAAATTAAATCAAAGGCTAAATGTTTCTGCGATTTGCACACAACTCCACGTCGGTTATAAGCAGGTCTAATCTAATTAAGACACCTAACATCGTCTCACCATCAACAATTCTTACTAAAGCAACTACTGGCTGCTTTAGTTTATCAATACATTATCATTCTTTGCATCTTCTGTGTTTTTCTAATATCATTTGTATGGTATACACTACTTTTATTTAGTTATTGTTGGTGTGGACATATTCATAGAAAATCTTTTTTTGAGTTTTTGTCTTCTGGAACATTCATTCCTTAAAATTTATGCAAGGTATTTTAATGACCCCTTGCAAAAATCACTCAATATTCAGCAGAACCACATCATGTTGCATTATATATGTAAAAAGGTAAACATGGCTCTGTCATCATAATGCAGCCACACCTCTGTAAAAGCTTGAGCCTTTGAGTCACTATAATTTAAATCTCATGTGGCAGCAAATGTTCAACTGAATTTAATTCCGCTTATTAATATGGATCACAAATATTAAAATAAATCCTATCAGATTTCAAGCAAATTTTTATGCATTTAAAATTATTTCTAGCTGTCATACAATGCAATCAAGTTTAGTTTATTTTTCCAAAATTGGTTTAAGTCTTCAAACAAAGGAAATCCGGCAGATTCCTTGAGCTGCTGACTCTCAGCCTTCACTCCTCCTGGACAAACATACAATCAAAACAACCAGCAAAATGTAGAAGGTATGTGAGTAGCATGATTGCATGTAATAACCTTCTAAATATAGCTTCCAAGAAGTCTTTTAAGCACACTGGCATCACAATGACTTCTGCAATTCAATACATTGTGCAACCCCAAAAGCAGGATTGTATTTACATGTTACAGTCCTAACCTCTTAGAAAAGAGGGTTATAAAAAAGCAATTATCTTACCCCTGTGCGCTCTGACGTGTGTCTGAAAGCAGTTGTAATACTTGTACTTCTTTCCACACACTGCACATACATACGAACCTGCAAGAAAATTTCAAAAGCACATCATAAACATAACAAGATGCCATCAATAGCAATTAAGACAGCATAAATAAAGTTGCCTGTTAGAAAACTGTTCAACTATAACAATGGCTGGTGATGAGATTGTTAGAAATTTAAACAAACATCTTCTTCAGATCAGTGAGCACATATACCGCTGCACTGCCAGGAATTGCTAACAACACTCTTCCATACCATACCATACCAACTTTATTTATAAAGCACTTTAAAACAACCACAGTTGATACAAAGTGCTGTACAGTTTAAGAACACAACATAATAAAAATAATTTAAAAACAGTTTAAAAACAAAAAACATACAATTTAAAACTAGATCCCACTGGTGTTGAAAGCCAAGTAAAATAGATGGGTTTTAAGACGAGCTTTAAAAATGGACAAAGAAGGGGCCTCTCTGACCTGCAAAGGTAAGTCATTCCATAATTTGGGGCCCATAACAGAGAAAGCCCTGTCCCCTCTGAGCTTCCTTTTTGTTCTCGGTTCCTCCAAGAGCAGCTGATTTGCTGACCTGAGAGACCGATGGGGTACGTAGGGATGAAGAAGCTCAGAGAGGTAAGCTGGGGCAAGATTATGCAATGATTTAAAAACAAACATAAGAATTTTAAAATGAATCCTAAAGTATACAGGCAGCCAGTGAAGTGAGGCCAGGACAGGGGTCACATGCTCTCTCTTTCGAGTACCTGTCAAAAGTCGTGCAGCAGCATTTTGTACTAGCTGCAGACGTGAGAGCAGCGACTGACTGACACCCAGATAAAGTGCATTACAGTAGTCCAATCGAGTTGAAACAAAAGCGTGGATCAGTGTTTCAAAATGCTGCCTGGAAAGAAAAGATTTCACTGACGCCAATCGCCTTAAATGATAAAAGCTGGACTTAACCACGGCTCTAATTTGGCTGTCCAATTTAAAATCACTTTCCACCTTAAAACCAAGATCAGTAATAACAGGTTTAAAATATACCTGCAAAGGTCCCAGGTCAACAGAGGAGGACTCACAAGAGCCACTGGGTCCAAACACTATCACGTCTGTTTTGTTTTCATTTAAGTTTAAAAAGTTCAAGGCCAACCAAGCTTTAATATCTCCTAGACATGCCAGGAGATGTTTGATTGAATGTACATCCTGCTGCTGTATGGGCAAATAAATCTGACCATGTAGGTGTTGTTACTATAGGTATTAGAAAGTTGGCTGAGCAAAACACTTAACCCCACACTGCTCCCCGGGCATTGCACAATGGCAGCCCACTGCTCCCCAAGGGGATGGGCTAAATGCAGAGATACATTTCTGCAGTGTGAGAACAATAAAGTTCAATTATTTATTTATTTATAAAAATGCAATTTTCAAATTGCAGAGCCACTCAATTTTAGCACAATACATTTGACAAGAGTGGGACACAAAATTTCCTCATCCAGCTGTTTAGGAGGCGGTAATGCAATAAAAATGTGTATGCTGTCGCAGGAACAGAGAGTTGCAGCTAGCACCTAGATCTATGCATCATAGATCTATGCATCATAGATCTATGCATTATAGTAAAAGTTTGAACTTTTCAAACACTGGTTTCTGGACAAGTAGGCTTTCAAGGTCATGAAAAAAACTGAAACCCTGGAGTGAAACATCACATGCTTGTGAAAGGAAAATCGTAATAAAATCACTATCAGAATATTTGTTGAAAATCAGCATAGTTTACATAATGGGCAAACTCGTTCATCTCTTATTGCCACTAAAAGACGTCAGAGACAAGTTAAAATGCTCCCTCCAAATAATTTGTCTTGCTTTTACATTAATCATACTGTTTCAAAGCGACTGCTCTCTCCAAAGCCTTGTGACATCAAATCTGCTCTAAAATAAAGAATGAACGTCCACTCACAGCTAGAGGGCCAGAGAGAAATATTTTTTGAATGTTGTAATTAAACTTGATAGAGAGAAATTTGAATCAGCTTAAAGGACAAATCAGAAATTTAGAATTCAAAATTCTGAAAGTACTTTAAATATAAAATTATTACATACTGATCAATAAATGATAAGTGTTTTTAATTAAGAATAATTTTCATTTAAATATGCTTTAAGAGACATCCATGTTGGTCAAAGAACACTACTGCATGACAAAATCCTTCGTCATCTTTACCATGGACAGGCTGCAGCCATGTCCCGAAATCCTCGTTTTAAAGGCACTTTTGTTGATATTTAGCCTGGGTGCCAGTCCGAACTTAGTCCCGCCCACAAGGTTTGAGTTCGGGGAAGTTCGGTCTGGCTCTGCTCCATAGTAGCGCGAGTATTAAAGCCCACTGTCAGGCGATCCAATCAAATTGTCAGGTCGGGCTTTATACGATGATGGACAGATGATCAAGAGTAATGTTATCAACCACGTGACCAATGCGCGCTTGGGTGACAACAATAATGGCTGCCGCTGGAGAGTTTGGGTGAGTAGATTCTGCTATTAGGTCTATTCTAGAAGATATCGACAGCAAATTTATTTTAAAAGAGGAACAGAGAAACGCGATCAAGTCTCATCTTCTTATTCTAGGCGTGAAACTGCACGCTTTGATTTTTGTGGACAACAACTATGCCTCGCTTAAGATACGTCACGCACTCCGTTGCTCTTATTGGTTGTAGGTCTATCCAATTGAGTGCAGAGGCATTTTTTTTCCTGGTTCGTTCAAAACACGCCCCATAATCACAGCTCTATGGAGCAGTATCAGACTCATATTCTGACTAGAATTGAGTCGGACTACGTCAGGCTAGTTGATATTTGCATTTTCCCCCATTCTCAACTTTTTTCCGCCTCTAGCTTCTTTTCCGAACATACGGCTTTACGATAAACCGGAAGCAGTTCCGCGCAAACGCACAACCAGTCTTGTCCAATATATCTGACAAAATTGTTTTTATAAAAATATATATATATTTTTTTTTTAATCAAAGCATTTTAAACGCTACGATGATCACATTTAATGAATTTTAATGTGAAGGTAAGGCCTTGATTAAAAAATAATAATTTAATGACTTTTAATGGTTTTTAATGACCCGTGGAAACCCTGGATCCGTTGATTATGCCTTGCTGCCCGGACTTCTCCCTTAATCAGTATTGACCGAGTATTTTCTGATCAGTGGATTTCTAGACCTGAGAAATTACAGCAAGAGTATAAGAGTATCACCCCCATAGTAGCCCATTAAGTTATTTAAAACATTCCTTCTGGTTAATGTTTGATCCCAGAACAAGCAACCAACCATTATAGCACTGGGAGTGCAAGGTGGGAAGCCCTTCATACAGACCGTGAAGAAGTGATATACATTAACTATGGTATTAAAGACAGGAAGTCAGCTTCCATTTAAAAGTCCTTATGTTCTTTTGATATACTTGTCTGCCTTCACATGGATATGAAGGCTGGTGATACCCAATTTTTCTTATATAATAATAATGTATCAGCCTATCCATTAAAGCTTTTACGGCTTCAATTTTTCTACAAAAGGTTTCAACAAGGTTTAGAAGCTCATTTATGGGAATTTTTTTTTTACCAGTTTCCCAGAAGCCACTTCGCATGGTAAAACAATGATGTTTGATGAGAAAAACTAGTTAACAGTTCACTTTAGTCAGTGTTCAGTTAAGTCAGTGTTTTGTGCAGCTGCTGAAGTATTTCCACTTCAAATTCACTCTTTCATGTCTTTATGGATCTTTCCAACTGTCCTGCAATCCCTAATTTGGGGTTCAACCCCAACTCCCTCTCCTACCACATGCTAATGTACCTTTAACAAAGGCACTTAAAACAAAGTAGAAGTGGAAATGCTCGGAGTCATCAGAATTACCAAAGAGGCTTAGATTAATTCAGTGTTTATTATCCTCCAGAACAACAAACCCAGGCCATAATCCTCTCTATACTTAACTCTTGAGCTAATCTAGACGACCACATGAAGTTTGGGAGTCTGTAACAAATGACTCGCTAAAAAGTCTGCAGACTTTACGATTCAGTATCTGCTGACTTTGCTAATTGCTATTTAACTAATATGGCGTAAAATCCATGGATGCTGAGATACTATCCAGATCCGTCTGACATCACTGCTGCCAAGCAAACATGAACGATGCGCATTCCCATAACTAGATATAGTGATTTAATATCACAATGTGTTTTTTGTTTTGGTTTTTTTTAAATCACTGCTGCTTACCTTATCAAGGCTGCACTTGAAAAAATTTAATTGTCTAGAAAGCTGCTCTAAACAAGATTTGTTTTTGTTTACACTTGTGTATACAAAATGAAAAAAATAAATCTGACTAAGTCTAAAATTTCATGGCTAAGTCAACATTGTTTTAAATTATGTTCACTTAATTATGAAACCACAAAATGTCTGACAATGGGGGAAATATTATGACCATATTTGCTGTGTTTTCATGGTAGTTTCAGAAAACCTCTACACACCTGTGGTCGTAGATGGGTGACTGAATACTTTTGGAAATATAGAGCCTGTGTACAGTATATAATAGTGAACTCCTACACATGAATTAGGGATTAGTGACAAACTGTTGTTTGTGTCAACATCTATAATGAATTGCCTGTTCATTATTAATTCTAGCCAGAAAGAACTGGCCCAGGCTGGCTTTTAAAAGCTGCTGATTCCAATAAATTTTTTATTTGCTCTAGTTTACCCAGAATAATGATTTATGTTAATGCTGTTGTGTTAGACTGTGAGCTTTAACCAAATTTACATAATGAACCAGCCTTACATACAGCTTAACTGGCAAACATATATGATACTGACATCATTTTTGTATTACCTGAATGTTATTGCAAAATTATGTTATAAAAATGGTTATGAACATAGTGCAGATTCTGAAAAAAAAATCCTTTGCTCCACTGAAAGAAACTGCTTGTAAAATATATCCCCCCTCCCTTCAGCTGAATTTAGATTCCCATCTTTTATATTTAGCTTCCGTCTTAAAATGTCGACATGACTGCTTTGTGCATACAATTCAAAAATGACTCAGTAGTTTTTCAAAGAGTCAATTTTTTCAAGACAGGAATCCAGAAATAATCAGCTAAATGCTGTTGACAGATTTGTGCATCGCAGGAATATTTTTTTTGGCTCTAGATTTGACATGTTAAAAGAAAAACAACATTTCAAAAGCTTTAAACACATACAGGGATATATCAGTATAAACACACACCTATGCATGAGTCAGTGCTCTTCGTTGGAGGAGGAGTACCAAGGGCAAACATACCCTCGGTTTGAGCTCTACGGGTTGCACCATCATTTGATCCTCCATCTTTCCCTCCAATAACGACACAGATCTCAGCAGGATTGACATCTCCAACTTTCCCGTTGCTCTTCTCTGAGGTCCCGGGCTCTTTCTTTACAGAAACTGTCGGTGGAGTACTACTCGTGGCTGTAGGTTTATCTGTGGCTGCAGTCCCATTCCCACTTTCAGCCTGCTCCTGCCCAGGATTAGGTGCCTCCTGTGCGCTCATGACTCCACCTCCTCTGAGGCTGTGTTTCTGTAAAAGGAGCAAAAAAGTAATCTGTGTCAAGAAAGATCCCATAAACCTCAATTGTAGCTTAAATCTTTAATGAACTATTATGCTGTTGTACATGGAAATGGACACTCAATAAAAAAATCCACCAAATATAACAATCAGCTTACTTACTTTTTTACATCTGTTTTTTTTTTTATGAAAAAATCTTATTCAGTCTTTTATATCTGAGGAAAGCAACTTTTTTTTCTCTTACAAACACTATTTAATTGAAAAACATCTGGTTTTTAAAATTAACCTTTTAGAAATGAACATAAATACTTTAAAATGGTTCTATTAAATATGAATATGTGTAAGTTCAGTTAAGTGCTGTTATCAAACTTACCCAATTTCAAATGAAAGTTTCAGCTACCCTATTCTATCAAGAGTTTGTAAATGTAGTTTAAAAACTTGTTATTCTTTGCAGGAATCTAAGCACATTAACATAGCAATGGTTCCTACCAAACAGGTGCAAATGAAAGTAAAACAGGCTACAGTTAGAGTGCAGCTTGAAACAAAGTACTACAGTATGACCTGACTAGAGTCCCCAACCACAGTAACAATGAGACATCTGTCTAAATATAATTGAGCCACGTGAGCTTAACATTTACACACACACATAGACGGACAGACACTCACACAAGAGTTAAAGTTATATTTATTCTTAAGAGAAGTCATCTTTAATGGCTTGAATCCCAAAGTCTTGTGGTGCCCAAATCACTGCAATTTGAGAAATATCTAAATTACACTGCTCACCACGTGGCTATAAAAGGCCTTGTTAAAAGAATGAGCATAAATGCAACCAAGCAAAACACAAGTATGCCAAAATGAATGATGTTATGGAAGGAAGGAAAATCTGTCTTCTAATAATAGTACACCAATTCGGCAGCAAGCCTCTTCAACCCCAAAGCACACCTTTCTCTGGATATGACACATGACCTAAAATGGGTAAGAGTAAAACCAAATGTTGCTGGTTTGCAGCTCAAATAGTGGATCTTAACAAGCAGGGGGAAAAAAAAGGTAGTAGGAATATTAAACAGAGTGGATAACTATTAACATTCTTAAATGGCTGTGACTATGTCAGAAAACTTCCTAAATTACCCACAACATTTTTTTGTTACTATTTTACATTTATTCTTAAACAATGAGATACAAAAACGTTATGATTGAATCAGAGATTTTAGATGCAGGCCAACATAATCAGATTTTTTTATTTTGGCTGATACCTGACTGATTTCCGATATCAATATTAAATCGGACATCCCTGCTTCAAGGAACCGCTAAATGTGTTGTTTAGCCAATTGAATTAATTGGGTTTTATTTACATTTATACAAGTAAAGAGGCCTGCTTTATATGAAAAAATCAACAGTTTTTGCTCTACATTTCAAAATTTTGCACTACCTTGTGTTGTTGTTTTATCAAAGAATCCTTATCTATCACAATCTTTTGATTCTTATGCTGTAACATTAAAACATCTATAAAACCTCAAGGGATGTGGATTTCTTGTAAGGTACTTTTTCTATTTGAATATTTTCAAATCGGGTGAAAGAAACAACAAGATATGAACCAGTCATTAAAAAAACAAAAAATCTAAAATTCTGTTTTGAAATACAAAGCACAGTGTAACTATTACTAGAAAACATAGCTGTGCCATAATAATTGCCTCATGCTAATTATGCTCTTCTCATGCTAATCAGAAGGCAAACTGATAAAATTAAATAACAGGAAAATAAAATGTGATTAGTTTTTCACTGAGAGCCTTAAAAAAAAAATGGGTGGGATTTCTGTCTGACAAAAATTTTATATTGAAAATCATTTTTAGCACAGAGGAAAAAATCCATTAAAAGATTTTTTTAATGCATGCAAATAGCAATTTATCTTAGTCACAACGTTTAAACTAATTAGGCAAAGAGCATCAGATTAAATCAACATCACTGTATGCGACTGATTGGTTCAGCATATCAAATTCTGTTGCAGACCTAATTCAAAGACAATCAAAAGTAGGGATGAGCTATATAGACCAAAAATGAAATCTTGATATTTGACATATTTCAAGTTAATGAAAAAAAAAGAAATTTTTAAGAAATATTTATGAATCACAAACTATGGTTCTTCCTTAATGCCCCTGTTAAAGACATACTGGTTAAATGGAGTGATGTTAGACATTGATTTACTCAGATAAACGAAATAATCAATCACATATTATTATTCATTTAGAGTGTTATGTTTGCTTATTTAATATTTAACAAACCCGAGCCACGGAAATTAAGAGCCAGGTGTGAAGAGTTACCAGCTGCGTCTAAATAATGTTTGAGGAATAACTTCACCTCTTGCATGTATACATCACTAAAAACAAAATTTTTAAGGAAAAAATTTCCTGTAGTTTTTCCTTTAAAAAAAATGTTTTCAAATGTTTGTTTTTTATCATTTTCCTTTGTCTTTCTAAGGTTATAACTCAAATAAAAGCTAAAGCTTTGCTTAACTCCATAATTGGTTATATTTTTACTATATTACACAAAAATGCAAGACGATAACCGGTGATGTGTTGGCCTCAATGGTTTGACTTGCCCCCCCACCAAACATGTTCTTAATATTTTCATCTTTCTTACTTCAAGGATGCCCTAAAATTGAGAGTTTTGGTGGACGAATAAATGCAGAGAATTTCCTTCCAGCGGAGAATAACCTTCCCTATTGCAGGAGCATGCATTGCCCTAAACTCTCACACATTGATGAGAAAACAGATTGAAATATGAATGAAAAAAGGGGACTTTTAAACATACTCTACACTTGTTTAAGCCAGTCTGTTGATTTGGATTAATAATTAAATCTAACGCCGTAAACAACATGATGAGCTACTAATAAAAACAAAAAAAGCAGTTGGACCTCTTCTTCTTGTAGAAGTTGATTTTGATTATAAAAAAGGAAACAGTAACACAAACAGAAAATGTTGATTTAGGCGTCATCTCTGAGGAATAATGTTATCCAAAAAAAAGAAAAAATGGGTGGACGACCTATTAAAGGTCTTCTGGGTCAGCTGGACATTTTTGCAATTTACAAAGCGCCGCTAAATTTCTCAACTCAGTTAGAAAACATTAAAACCTTTAACAATCTCCCACCCGGTCATGTGTAAAACTTTCTTCCTTAAGCTGGCTTTCCATTTAAGGTTATTTTGGTTTTGATTGATTGAATCATAAATCATGTTTATTTGTTTTTTTATTTATTCAGGGTCAGCAGTAAAATAAAATTGACAACATATCAGTAATACCAATCATCACCCAGATTCAAATGAATGTTATAATCCTGACATGTTGAGGTAGGAAACAAAAAACAAATATCAAATAACCACTTTCTGTAAATAGTAGCTGCTGTGAAAAGGTAATTTTAGTGTTTGCACGCTTTTCTCCATCTACATTGTTTCTATATTAATATAAAAACAACCAAGGCGTTTCAGAACCATGCAGAAAAAAACTCACAAATTTATTCAACATACTTTTCTAAGGTTACCTCTACTAGAAGTTTGTTTGCTTTTTGTACAGATACTATTTGGTAAGCAAACCAAGAACTCTTCAGTTTGTAGTCACAAACATTAGTCACAACAAGGTTGTGAAAAGACCTTAATGCTAAATCTGGTTTAATACTAAATCTGTATGAGAATAAAGTAAAATAATTTGTAATGGATACCCTGAAAGCCAAGTTTAAAACAAAGAGAATGAAGCCTCACCAGCCCAGGGGATTGGAAATATTTATCAAAATAAAACCGGAAATGGAAAGACTATTTGTTTCGTCAGAAAGACATTAACATTAACCTAAGATTATAGTTTCATTAAAAGCAAACTAAGGGATTTTGTTCAGCTGTAACAATCAATATACCCTTTATTAGTATGGAGTAACCTCTTTGTTCAAGCTGTCTTTGAATGCAGCATGAGCATACAAAGGCTAACACAGAAGTTCAACATGAGGCATGATGCTGAGCAGTGCTGAATGTGAGCATCACCATATTTAGCGAAACCAGCAGAAAAAAGCATAACAATTTGCAGAGGTTTTTCCAAAGAGACCATGCAAGTTGTGTAGCTTTGTTAGCAATCAGACGTGTTAGGCAAAACATGTCAATATATCAATATGTTAAAGGTATAGTGGAGGATTTACTTTCTCCGAGTAGATCATAAAAATAAGTGGTCCTCCTAATTGTCAATCTTTCTGGTGATCTGTTTAAGTAAGGCCGTCCTACGTGTTACTTTCCAGTTAGCTATCCTTTTCTGCACATGAACGCTTTCAGGTGTGTGTTTGTGTTGAGCTACAGTTTCAGACAGTCATTGAAGCTCGCCTTCCTCATCACAGTTCATTAAAAATGGCAGAGGGTTGTAAGAGAAAAAAAGTGTCCTGAAGTCTATGAGAAGAAGAGAAAGGCCTCAGAAGTAGGCTTGTCCCGATCCGATCCACGTATCGGATCGGGCGCCGATATTGGCAAAAAATGCGTATCGGCAAAGCATGTAAAAATGCCGATCCAGACTGCCGATCCAGTTTTTAAAAAAAAATCCGGTCCGTATTTTCCAGTTACGCCGATTGAAACGATCCATTCCACTATTTTGCGCCAGTGTTCCCCGACTCCGGTCCGCATTTTCCAGAACACCTTCAACACACCCACAGGTCTTTTTGGCTCTGTGTCCCGGCCTAACCATTAAAACAGGTGAATTGGAGGATAGCGGGGAAAATGTCAGCCGTGTGGGATTATTTTATCCTGCATGATGAAAAAGATGATGAGGCGGAGTGTAAAACATGCCACATTAGAGTCAAGCGTGGTGGTAAGGCTGTGAGAAATTTTAACACAACAAATCTGATCAAGCATCTAGCGAAATATCATCATAAAGAACACGAAGAGTTTCTAAAGAAAACCGACGACAAGAAAAAGAAAGGTCCTACACAACTAACTCTTGCAGAAACATTTGGGAAGCGTGATATGCTGCCACTTAATAGTGCGAAAGCC